AAACTTTTACCTCCCACAAACTGAATTTTTGCCAAAACTTTTACACAGTTTTGGTAGAGTAGGGTATACAAACACAGCAACTCCATACACCAGTGGCGTAGGCAGGGGGGGTCATAACCCCCCCCCCCCATAGACCCCTCGGTATATATATATATAAAGTATGAGGGGGGTTGCAAATCGAAAGTTTTAGGGGGGGAGGTGCAAATCGAAAGTTTGAGGGGGGGGGGGGGTGCAAATCGAAAGTTTGTACCCGGGTAAAAATTGGAACCCCCCCCCCCCTTAAGACGATCCTGGCTACGCCACTGCCATACACGACATACATTGTTTCATGGTAGATTTAGCCATTTTAATTAACATTTGATCTATGTATACTCTAAAAATATTTTCTAAAAAATAATCTATAATTCAACTACATTTTTTTAAAGCATGATTTTTATATACGTCATGAAAGTTAAAGTGATAAAAGTTCACGTTTCTTACAAAACAATCAATAGAGCAGTTGGAGTAGAGTTCACGAGGAAAGGATGTTTAAAATGATAAAAAAATAAAAATGAAACGCAGAGCGTTTAAGTTATTTTTTTTTTACTTTTTATTTTCCGTCATGCGTGAAATCTGGAGAACGAAATTTCACAGAGCCTATTCGTTTCAAACCGAACCGGTAGGTCTAGTTCCAATGGCATTGCATTGCAACATGTCTTTTGTCACAACAAGTTTTTTTAAAATTGAGAAACGTTGTTATTGATTGTTAACGGAACAATTTCATCACGATTTTACACACTTATTTAACGTCAAGCGATTTTATTTTAAAAAAAAGAAAAAAGAAATTAAAACCGTTAACTACAAAATATTAGCTAAAGGAAGAGAATTAACAAATATAGTTATATAAATAGTAGTGGAGTTCGATATTTAAAAAAAAATCATTTATTCTTCAATTAGTCCGAATAATAAACAATATTATTATACATTGTACACATTATTCATTTATTTATTTTTTGTTTAACCTTGAACTCCGCTTCTGTCCCTTTCTGACCTGTAATGGATACATAACAATGTCAAGCACTCGATTTAGCCGTCTATACATTGTGTCGAGTAGAGGAAAGGGGGGGGGGTGAACTGCTTTCACACACATAGACCAACTCATGTATTTCTATCTTTCTCATACATATAAGCATATAAGCACACACACACACACACACACACACACATATATATATATATATATATATATATATATATATATATATATATATATATATATATATATATATATATATATATATATATATATATATATATATATATATATATATATATATATATATATATAAAACCATATAAATGCAAATATATTATCAATAGTTAAATCTGCAGACAGTGCTAAGATCTACACGTATAATTCCATTATGAACGTACCTATTACTACTGATAAAACTACCAAACAGTTATCAAACTCGTAGGAAAACTAAACTCCAACCATCTACCAGCTGATGGTACTGGTGATATTATTCGCTTTGGGAATCTGTTCATCATGATGTTGTTGTGTGTGGTGGCCGCCGTGTTGATGTACCTATCGGCAGGTGTCGTGTGCAGGTGAGTTGCTTGTCGATGTGTGTGAGTAGAGATTGACTTATTCAGCTTGTTGATGTTTTAATGTATAGAGTATACATAGACTTAATCAACTTTTAAAAATTTTTTAATGTATAGATAAACTTACTGAGCGTTTTGATTTTTTTATGTATAGATAGACTTACTTAGTCTTTTGATTTTTTAATGTATAGATAGACTTTCTTAGCCTTTTAATGTTTTAATGTATAGATATATTTGCTTATCGTTTTAATTTTTAATGTATAGATAGACTTAATAAGCTTTTGATTTTTTAAATGTATAGATAGACTTACTTAGCGTTTTGATTATTTATATATTTAGATAGACTTGCTTAGCTCTTTTATTTAACAATGTGTGAATAGTTAGTCTTTCCCAACCTTTGTATTTTTCAATTTTGAATTGCTAGTCTTTTTCTCAGTTTTTTTATTTTTTTTATTTTTCGATGTATTGATAGTCTTAGTCAGCTTTTAGATTTTTCAGTGTGTGAATAATTAGTATTTGTAAGCTTTCGATTTTTTAAATTTCGTGTTAGACTAACTTAGCCTTTTGATTTTTTAATGTGTGAGCAGTTATTTCTTTCTCAGTCTTTCAATTTTTTAACATGTTGATAATCTTACATAGCTTTTTTAAAATTCCAACATGTGGATAGGATAATTAGGCTTACTCCCCTATTAAAAACTACACTTACCCAGAGCCCAGAGGCTTAGCGAGGGGGGGGGGGTCGGGAGGGGTGCGGACCGAATCGGGTGACACCACTTACGGGGGGGGGGGGGTGACACCTGGGCAAAAATAGTAAAATATATAGAAAAATTTTTTAGGGGGGGGGGGGGGGGTGCAAATCGAAAGTTCGAGGGGGTGCAAATCAAAAATTGAAAGTTTGTCCCAAGGAAGAGTCGCTACGCCCCAGGGGGTGACACCATTTAGTGCCGCACCGGGTGACACCCGACCTCGCTACGCCACTGCACTTACCTTGTGACATTTAGTTCTTTATAGTCCGTTTTGTTTCTGAGACCTCGGTTACCTGAAGGAAAATTGTGATAGGCGCTAAGCTTAACCGGTAATTTCTTACACACGACTCCAGGCGGGTACCAGTTAAAGCTGAGTGAACTCAGAGACTTCATAAACTTCATACGGAACCAAACTCGGACACTCTCGGTTCTGTTGTCCGTCATTCTCGCCAACACGAAGACCCGTCCTATTTATAGAATAATACAGGGGGTCGGCAACCAGAGTTTCTTCCAGACATCTCCCCCACCCCCCACCGAACAAAATGGAATATATATAGAAACATATATAATTTTAACAGTGTCCACCCCCCCCCCCCCCCCAAAAAAAAAGTGCCGAAGAAACAGTGTCGGCAACTTTAAAAATAATTCGTCGATCACAGAACTAGGGGTTACAGGGTTTGGCTTGTGAGATACATATCATTATCCTTATCTGTTCGTTAGGTACCCATCAGTGCTACTGACTTTAACCCGGATTCGAACTAGGGTTAGCAGTCTAGCGCAGGAGTCTATCGGGCTACCACTAGGCCACGCCGTCCCGTGGGATAAATATATGTAAACCAGAGGTCAACAACCTGCAACTTGGCACCAAATACGTCACTATATGTAAAAAAAAAACAGCATTTTCCATTAAATAAGAAAACATTAAGAAAACAACCATTAAGTAAATTAACCGGGCTAATGTACACGCACATTTTTTATCCAGTTTTAAAATTGAGCGTCAAAACTTGGATGTGATTTTAAGTGCTGCTCATTCTAATATTTCTTGGCAGAAATAATTTTAAAATGTTGCTTTTTCACGTTAATAATACATAACTTTCTGCCAAAATAAACTGTGGGTAAAATCTATATTTAAATTTTTCTCGATTTAGTTCTAATAATTCAAACTATAAGAACGTGTATTTTTTCTGTACGCCGTTTTAAAATTGTTCGAGCAGAAATAATTGATGAGAATAACTCTTTGCTGAAAAAAAAAGATTGCCGATCATTGAATTAAAAAGGACTTCACACGTTCTTTGCTTAAAAAAAAATACTACCGATCCTTGCATTAAAAATACATTTCAAGTTCTTTGCTAAAAAAAAACTAGACTACCGAACGTTATGTTAATAAAACAAATTAAAAAGAAGACTTCAATTGCTTTTTTATTTTAAAAAATAAAAAGGTATAACCGACCCTTGCCATAAAAATAGAAGACATAAAATGCAGATCGTAAGGTCTAAAGCACTCACTTAAATACATTTTAGTATTTTTTAGTTTTTTATTTAAATTGTTTTAGAACTTTCCTAACATGTTATAAACTTGTTTTTTAGGAAATGAAAAATGTATGCTCAAAACTGAAAATTCTGGAAAATTCGTAATAATAATTAAAGCATAAGAAATTGTGTTTTGAACTAATTATATGGTGTTTGCTTACATGCTCAAACTTTAAATAACTCAATTTTTTTTGGTATAGACCAAGGGTCGGCAACCTTTTGAGGCGGAAGAGCCAAAAATAAAACTTTACATGATTTCACAGTTTTCAAAGAGCCACTAACAATATTTTTTTTCAACATTATGGTATTTGATTAAGATTAGGTAAATAGATTTAAAATAAATGGGTTTAAGTCTGAAACACTATTTATTCATATAAAAACATACACATGTTTTCGCACAAAACATAAGTATTTTAGCCAGGATTTTGCTAGGATAATAAAATCAAATTATATAACTGTAGCACTATCCCTACCCAATTTAGAAGCTTATAACTAAAAAACTATGTCACAGGAGTCAAATTAATGGACATAAAAAGTGACTTCTGAATGAAATAACAATTAGTATTTAAAATATTTTTTTTTTAAATTGCACTTCGGTAGTGGAAAGCATGGAACCACTGCCACGGGGCTGGCCACAGCACAGTTGTGGGGCTGGGTCTTGTGTTCATGCAGCTGTCAGCTGCTTATATACGCTCTACTCCACCTATTATCATTGTTTTTATCTTCTTTAAAAGTTGTTTTATAAAGTATAATATTTTTATTAGTTATACATATACAATACTATCATTATTATGGAACTGGCGAGCCGCATCTTGACATCAAAAGAGCCGACCCCTGGTCTAGACAAAAGTTAACACCTTGTCTCTGGTATAAATATCGTCTGGTGTTGGTCGTCTGCTCATAGTCTCCATCGAGCCTACTTCACTTCCGGTCAAGCAGGAGATTGGCCATCTCAGCCCCATGATGAGCGTTGGGTTCGTCTCTCGTATAAACGAGTATTAAGGGGTCGTCCATAAACGACGTCACACTCGTAGAGGGGTGAGGGGGGCCGTAGTTTTGTGACGGTGTGCGATGAGGAGAGGGGGGTGTGTTCAGATGGTGCACACTTTTACGTTATAAAAAAAGCAATGTTAGCAAACGAATTTTAGACTTTATTTTGCGTTTTAGAATACTGTTTTAATAAATTGATTAAAATATTCTATGTTGACGTCAAAAATAGTTTTCTTCTTCCAGCGCACTCAAAAGCTTGTTAAAATTTAAGTTTTTAGTAGATTTCATTTTGGATGTAACTACGTGGTTGAAACTACGAAGGTTTTTTTAGCGCAATTTCCATTCTGGAGAATTGCGTTTATTAACTCGTCTTTTCTGGGAATGAATGGATGGATGGATGTGTGTCCGCAGCTTTAAGTCGTATCTCCTCCTCAACGAAGCAATATCGAAGACTAGTTCCAAAAGCAAATATGTTAAGCAAGTTACCAGGATGAACATAGGCCAAAAAAATTCCGGGTTTCTTTCATGGATTTCCCGGAAAAGCCAAAAAAACCTCGCAAAAATGCAGTTTTTGGCCCATATCTCGGCAACCAGACCACTTAGCGACTTGAAACATGTACCAATCGATTCCTGCCATAATTTAGAACAATATTGCCTAAGAAAGTTTTCAAAAATATCCTTTCGTTCGGTCACAAATTTTTTTTTGAATTAATTAAAATTTGGACCGAATTAGTAGGCATTTTATCCAACCACACCACACGCGTCATCACGTTCATTAGCTGCGCCATCACGTTCAATGGCTGCGACATCACGTTCGGTAGCTAGGCGCGCAATGGTTTTTAGTCATGTTACTCTATTGTAAATAAAACATGCAAAATACTGAAAAAAAATTAATAAAAAACGTTTTAATAACTAACCAATGGTTTTACTAACCCTGTTCTTGATTTACGCTACGACAGAGCTATTTTTAGATAACATAAGGAAATAGCGCTAAAATTGTCACTAGACTTTTTTAATTACTTGTTTCCTTTGAAAAGACTCCTATTCCTATCTCAAACTCAGAAATGTAGTAAATATCTTTATGATTTCAATAGTTATCTACTCTATTTAGATCTACAACGCTGTATTGCTTGTTTGCATTTACATAATTGTTTCATCGACAGTTGGTATGATTTTAGATACCACCGATGTCCAATAATAGACTCTCACAAAAAAAGGTGTGTTAGGTTGTTAGTAGTATTGTAATCTCGACTACTTTTATGGTGAGAAATTGGGGTTAGGTGTATGGTAGGACCAGGGTTCGGGTTAGGTTTAGCATTGAGATTACCAAGCCATGTGTGTATTTAGTTAACTACCAGTAACCTTACACCCCCTTTTTTTTAAAGAAGATTCTATTATCGGACACTGGTATTAAAATTCCGCCAATCGTTGTATTAAATGTGTTTTAATCTCAATCCACAACCCCCCGCCCCCTTCTCTCTTCACCCCCCCCCCCTCCACCCCAGCCCATTCCACTTTGTCGTTCTGCCCAATGTGCTGCGTCTGGAGACGGAGGAAGTGGTCAGCCTCACCTGTCTGGAAGCAGAGCATGACGTCACGTACAAGATCTACCTGCAGGACCATCCCGACAGGAGGAAAGTTTTCTTCCAAACAGTGGCAACAGTCCCGCAAGGTGAGGCTCTGTTTGGGGGTTAGTGGGGGTTCTGTCGGGGGTTTTTTTGTATCTGTTTTACACGATTGTGAGGCTCTGTTTAGGATTACGTGAAACCAGAAGCGTAGCGAGGGGGGTGGGTGGTGGGTGCGGACCGCACCGGGTGACACCTTTTAGGGGGTGACACCAAGCCAAAAAATAGCAAAATATATAGAGAGAAATGATAATTCCACATGATTAAGTGATTAATTCGAGTGGTATATAGTCTTTTAAGAGTTGCAAATCGAAAGTTTGAGAAGGGGGGTGTGCAAATCGAAAGTTTGACGGGGGGGGGGGGGGGGGGGTGGGGGCGGTTGCAAATCGAAAATTGAAGGTTTGTCCCCGGGAAGGGTCGCTACGCCTCTGGGGGGGGGGGGGGGGGTAACACCATTAAGTGCCGCACCGGGTGACACCCGACCTCGCTACGCCACTGCGTGAAACTTGTGATTTTGTATCAGTTTGGGGGAGATGTAGGCTACGTATTGGGGTGAATTCGTATCATTTGTAGATAAACTCTATGGTCATTTAGGTTATTTTGTATCAGTTTTACATGAAGGTGAGGCTCTGTTAAGGGTTATGGGTACGTGTTGGGATGAAGGTGTATTAATTAATTGTAGAAGGTCTAGGGTCTTTTTGTTTAAGAGGGGGTGTGTAGATGCGTTTTATGGTGATTTATAACGATGTGGGGGGGGGGGGGGTGTACAAATGGTTAAAAATGGGTGAGGTCTTTTATGGATGACCCCAAACTATAGAAAAACACTTTCATACAACACAAAAATATTATGTAGTCTCTCGTAATTTTGTTATCCTGAGTTTATCAATATTAAACTCTTGATTGTTTTCACTTATGTTTTTATCATCAACTTAGAAGTAACTCAATCTTTATAATTATCTCCCTTCACATTCTTTTAATTTATTCTTCTAATCGCTCTCCCTTGAATATATCAGGTGAAGTTTTTAACTTATTTTTTTATCAGCAATTTAATAGTAACCCAATTTTTTATAGTTATCTCCCTTCATATTCTTTTTTGTTTATTCTTCTAATCGCCTCCCTTGAATATTTCCAGGTGAAGTTTTTAACTTATTTTTTTATCAGCAATTTAATAGTAACCCAATTTTTTATAGTTATCTCCCTTCATATTCTTTTTTGTTTATTCTTCTAATCGCCTCCCTTGAATATTTCCAGGTGAAGTTCGAACAGTGAAAGTTGTGGTCAACGTTGCTGACCTTCCCCAACCTTTGACCTCACCACTGTTCGTTCAGCTGGTCGTGGAGACGGTGGATCACGAGCCACCTTTCAAGAAAGAAGCGACCCTATTGGTTAACGAGAGTCCTGGATATATTTTCATCCAAACAGACAAGCCTCTCTATACGCCCGACCAGTCAGGTAAGACTCGACTAAAATCATCCCAAATGCTATACATATTTTTGTCGTGAGATATTTTGTCTGGGATATTTTGTCTGAGATCATTTCTCCATGATATCATTTGTCCTGATGTATTTTGTCCTGATTTATTTTCTCCGTGAGATCATTTGTCTTGAGATCATTTGTCCTGAAATCATTTGTCCGTTACATATTTTGTCCTTGAGATCATTTGTCCTGAGATAATTTGTCCTGAGATCATTTGTCCGTTACATATTTTGTCCTGAGATCATTTATCCTTGAGATCATTTGTCCTTGAGATCATTTGTCCTTGAGATCATTTGTCCTGAGATCATTTGTTCTTGAGATCATTTGTCCTGAGATCATTTGTCCTGAGATCAATAGTCCTTTAGATCATTTGTCCTTGAGATCATTTGTCCTTGAGATCATTTGTCCTTGAGATCATGTGTCTTTGAGATCATTTGTCCTTGAGATCATTTGTCCTGAGATTTGTCCTGAGATCATTTGTCCTTGAGATCATTTGTCCTTTAGATCATTTATCCTTGAGATCATGTGTATTTGAGATCATTTGTCCTTGAGATCATTTGTCCTTGAGATCATGTGTCCTTTAGATATTTTGTTCTGAGATAATTTGTCCTTAAGATAATTTGTCCTTGAGATCATTTGTCCTGAGATTTGTCCTGAGATCATTTGTCCTGAGATCAATTGTCCTTGAGATATTTTGTTCTGAAATCATTTGTCCTGAAATCATTTGTCCTGAGATCATTTGTCCTGAGATCATTTGTCCTTGAGATATTTTGTTCTGAAATCATTTGTCCTTGAGATCATTTGTCCTGAGATCATTTGTCCTTGAGATCATTTGTCCTTGAGATCATTTGTCCTTGAGATAATTTGTCCTTGAGATCATGTGTCCGTTAGATATTTTGCCTGGGATATTTTGTCTGAGATATCTTGTCATGGAACCATATTTATATGTGTATATATATCCCCATCCCCTCCCCTAAACCAGTATTTTGTTAAAGTTTTATTACCAGTACCGGAAATTCCAATATGAGAATCAAAAAGCTACGGTCTATTGTAAATACCTAATTAACGCTACTGTAAAAACAAATATAATATATTCAAAATATAGAAATTTGAATTAAAATGTATCACAGTAAAAAGAAAAAAAAATTGTTTTCAAGTCGATATAAAAATTTTTTTTTTTTTTTTGAAAAAAGATAGTGTTGTTGAAAAAGCGCTGCGCATAAATGTCTTGTAAAATCCAAATTAAGCAATTAATGAATTAGTTATTGATTTTACACCCATTAATGTGACAGTAACGACTCATTATTTTGTTATTGACGTCAGAGTTAAAAACATGTTTATTTGCCCCCCGGGGGATTGTCTACCGTCTATGGGTGGGGTAGGGGCGGGGGTGTGGGGAGCGGAAATCGAGAACTTGCATAGCTAATTTTATGGAGTATATTGTAGAGTAAGAAAACTTGCCTGGCACGATTGGGACAGAGGGAAATACGGACTCCTACATGGTTGTCGTGAAAATGGTTAATCTTATAATGGGTTAATACAGAGTTGGGGTCAGGGTTGGGTTCAGACGTTCGATACAGCTAGTGGGACGTCTAAAAAAGACGTCAAACAATTTGTACCGGTAAGGGACGGTGTGGTTGAATGGTAGAGCGTTTGGCTGCTAGCCCGAAAGTTTCGATTTCGGACCTCGGCTCGGACTTGTGATTGTAGGACGTCCTTGAGTCCACTCAGCTCTGATGGGTACCTAACTCACGTCGGGGAAAATAAATGAGGCTGGGTATAGCGCTGACCCACCATCCCTTCATATGCCGAGGTTTACTTCATCTTAACTCATACGTCTAAATCTCTCTACAGATATACATCGAGACTACCAGCAAGGACGCCCCCCCCCCCCCCCACTAAAATAGTAACAAAGCGTCACACAATTCCCCTTGGTCCACGTCCCCGAGCCATCACTGAAACATCCTCACAGTTCCCAGTCCCTGCTCACTACAACTACCATCAAGTCCCCCCCCCCCCCCCGCCATGAACATAACATCACATTCCATCACTTACCATGTTAAACCACGTTACAATTCAACACTCCCACTAAAACATGTTCACAAAGTTCCAACCTACGAGTTACAATCATTCAAAATTTATAACGTTTTTAATCATTTTAAAAGAAGAGGAACAAAAAGGAATGACGACAGACAGACAGAGGAAGTGACTTAAATAAAAGCTTGTAAAAAATATACTCACACAGAACATTGTCACAAAAATTAGACCTCCCAACATTATTAAATGTATAAGGTCATTCGTTTATGGACGATATAACAAAGAGCAGTGTCGATAGGTCAAAGGTCATTCCATTATGGTCGATATAAACAAATAGCAAAGTGCCGATAGGTCTTCGATCTACAAACCTAAATCGGTCTCATAACTTTCTAAAAATATAATAAAAGGGATTAAAAATATCTTAGAAGCAGTACTAATTTAATAAAATGAATGCGTTTATTAAAAAAAAACTATTTTTATGTGAAGGTTAGCCGAGATGTTAAACTTAGGCGGGTTTTGTTGATACGGTTAGGGTTAGGATCAAATATAGTCTTGGTTATGTTGTGAGTGTTATGATTAACATGTAAAACGAGTTAGACGAAATAGCTTCCATAATCATTGATTGTTGACATGAATAACAATTATTACTTCATCGAGGCCGTAAAAAAAAAGTCTACGTGAGTTGATTTCAGATATTTTATATTTTAAAAATCAATTTTATAAAAACTGAAGATGCAAAGAGCCTGGATTTTTGACGTCTAAGGCCACGTTTCTATTTCTTTTTATCTAGCTTAAATTCTAACCTGAAGTTTCACTTAAGCGAGTCAACATTAATTAGCTGTATTCGAAAAAAACCCAGGTTTTTAAATATTTTTCACTCAAAATTTTGCCGATAAAAGTTTCTTAAAAAGTATACTTTTATACCATGTTTATTAGGGGGACATTTTGAGTCAGAAAAATAAAAATAAAACATTATTTTTAGTATTTTACATTTTTTTTCTAGGTACCATAAATACTAAAATAATATAATATATATATATATATCAATTTTTTAAAGCGAATTTCGACTAAATCCACACATTAAATTTTTAACAAGCACATTATTTTAACAACAACGAACACGATTAAAAATAAACAACAATGCATTGAACATTTAGAGTATTATCGTTGTGATCCATTTGCTCTGAAAAAGGTTTTCTTTTGAAATATGAAGAGAAACAAAATACACTCAGACTATTGTATGTATCGTTCTCTATCAATGTTTTCCTTTACCTTACCCTATCTCAAGTCATTAGCCCTAACTCTAATCTTAACCTCAGAACATAGAAAAACATCACGGTCTGTAGACGGAGTAACTCCTCCTTTCCCATCCTTTCTCGTTGGACTTGTTTAACACATGCAATGGGGGGGGGGGGGGGGGCGGGATATAAAAATAAAAAACTGTAACCCGATTCGGAATGAAAGAAACATAACCGTCAAGTTTGAGAGATACAAGTCTGAAATAAAATTACTAATTACATTCGTTTGTTATTTACCGGAATCAAGTCTGTCTTTTTTTCAGTTTTGTTTTTGTTTTAAGTTTCTGTTTCTACGTAAGGATCTCCCTCACTCCCATTCACTTGGTAACAAAAATATGTTGGGTTGCGTCGGGTAAGTTCAGGATAGATAAGGTTAGGTTAGGTTAGGTTAGGTTAGATTAGGTTAGGTTAGGTTAGGTTAGGTTAGGTTAGGTTAGGTTGGGTTGGGTTGGGTTGGGTTGGGTTGGGTTGGGTTGGGTAGGGTAGGATTGGGTTAGGTTAGGTTAGGTTAGGTTAGGTTGGGTTGGGTTGGGTTGGGTTGGGTTGGGTTGGGTTGGGTTGGGTTGGGTTGGGTAGGGTAGGATTGGGTTAGGTTAGGTTAGGTTAGGTTAGGCTAATGGCTATATTGACGTTAATCAAATTGTATCGTTTCAGTTTACACGCGAGTCATGACGTTAAACGAAAACTTCAGACCTGTACAATGGCCGTTTCAAGTGGACATTCAGGTAATGATAGAAAGTGGTGTCTTCTTAACTTCATCTCAACCAGCGTTATATATATATATATATATATATATATATATATATATATATATATATATATATATATATATATATATATATATATATATATATATATATATATATATATAATGGAACTATACTTGTAGATCTTAGCACTGTCTGCAGATTTAACTATTGATAATATATATATATATATATATATATATATATATATATATATATATATATATATATATATATATATATATATATATATATATATATATATATATATATATATATACATATATATATATATATATATATATATATATATATATATATATATATATATATTATGTATAAACGTATATAAACCCGTACTGTTACTACCATTCCTGCCATTGATTAGACCACAACATTCATTTACAATATCCCATGTATAGTGACCAAATTATCCAAAGAGAAGGTTTTTTTTAAATGTTGTTTGGGTCCTCACCCCATCCCCAGCAGCCCACTCTCATGAATGTCACATCATCACGGCCAGGGGAGACAAACGGGTAACGTTTGCATCCTTGCCAACCAGTTTTTGCCGGCGTGCTGTCCCCTGGATTTAGGGGTATCGCCCGTCAACACTAGGGATAAAAAAACGTCGTGACGCCCACCTACAATGTACCTAGTTGGCCACCTACACGGGGGGAGGGAGGGCACATCCACCCCCCCCCCCAGAGTCCATCATGGGGGTGGAGGGGATGGATGATGGAAAAAAAATTCTATTGAAACAAATTACTTTTCCATGTCCGCTTCCACCACCATGAATTTTAATTGATACTAGAATACCCGTCATCCGTTGGATAACTGTGGGTTTCGGGGGTCATCCATCAAAAAACATCACGTCTGTCACTCAGAGGCATAGCGACCCTTCCCGGCGCCAGGGGACAAACTTTTCGATTTTAACCCCCCCCCCAAGATTTCGATTTTCAACCCCCACCCCCTCAAACTTTTGATGTGCACCCCCTCCCCACTCAAACTTTCGATTTGAACCCCCCTCAACCTTTCAATTTATTTTCCAAACCATTTTGGCGCCCCAACATATGTCCCCCCGCCCGCCCCCTTCCCGCCTCCACCTCCCCCCGCCTCCCCTCCCCCCCCCTCCTCGCTACGCTACTGCAGTGTCACTTATCGTCACAAAAAACAGACCCCCACATTCAAAAATATGTTTCTTATCTTTTAAAAACACCGAAAACACCGATTTCGGACTATCCCTTCATATACTGACGTCACATGTGACCTACTCAACTCTACTTCACCTGCCCAGTGTCCCGCCAAGTCTCAGACAACATGTTTTTATCGTTTAAAAAACGATTCCAGCCGAGCATGTCTCTGACCACACTATCCTTTCATATGCTTAGGACAAAGAAACAGATGAACTCTACTTCACCTGCCCTGTATCCTGCCAAGTTCAGATAGGCATCTTTATCATTCACATCTACAAAAAAAAAATTGAAAAAAAAGATCATTGACATATTGGTCTAGAACCTGTGCCACCCGCATGAGAGCGGACTACGCTATCAACTTAGCTATTTACTCGTGACATGAATTTTTATACTATACTTTTGAGTCTCCGCGCATAGATCTAGATCTAAGTCTAGAAGTAGAATCTAGTAACTTTCAAATTAAATTTTATCTTAAATTAGCCAAACAAAGATTTATATAAAATAATTAAGGCCTGAAATAGATTCTAGATGTATTAAGGCCTGAAATAGATTCTAGATGTAGAATTTACATTAAGTCTAGATCTAGAATTTACATTGAGTCTAGTGACCTAGATCTAGGCTAGATTCATAACTTTCCTTCGACAGCTGATCTTTAGATGTAGAGAAATTTATTGTAAAACTAAATGAAAAAAGACAGTTTAAAATTGATATAAGTGTTGGAACGTAATAAATACAGCAAACGGACGTATTGTTAAAGTTATGACCGACAGAAAATTAGATTTAGAACGCGTTAAACTTTTGAATGGGAACACAATTTTCTTCGATAGACGCCGCCATTTTATTGTACTAAAGAGTAAACAAAAACCTGTGACGTCACTATTCCCACAAAGTTTATTCGATGTTTTAACATTTTAAAAAAAAATGGGTTACTCTACGTATGAATAAATCAATTAATTAATTAACGTCTTTAAATAAATTTGTGATTAACACTCTGTCTGCATTAAAAAAATATTCTCTACCTACATACTATTTTACAGCACTCCAGATAGAGTCGAACATATCACAATTTTCGATCGGACAAACAAAAAAACAAATAAATATTCAAACATGTAAACAAACTGGACTTTTAGTAGTATAAGATAGATTTCTAGACTCTTCCCCACTCAGACTCTTCCAGAGATAAAAATCTCTGGAAAAAAACAACGACACTGATCTAGCCTGACTACCGCCACACTGTGGGGGATTAACGCCTTTGTTAAATTCACATCACATTTCATCTTTGGATGAATATAGTTTACACGTCCTCCCACAACCCTCACACTCTCACGAAACCATCACACAACCATCACAAAACATTCACACAACCCTCAAACAAATCTCACAGAACCCACACAAACCTCCCACAACTCTCACATAACCCTCATATGACCCTCACACAACGTCCACACAACCTTCACACAACCCCCACACAACTCTCACAGCCCTCACACCGACACAACCCCTCACAACACCTCACACAGCCCTCACACCGATACAGCCCTCAGACTCCATACAACCCCTCACACCTTACATAGCACTCCAACAACTCCCACAACCCCCACCCACACAACCTCTCACACAACCCTCATATCTGTCTCCACTACACCTCACACAGCCCCCACATCCCACACAACCCCTAACAGCTTACACAACCCTCCCACAACCCTCCAACAACTCCCACAACGCCCCCACACCCCCCCACACACAACTCCCGACACAACCCCTCACACAACCCACCACACAGCCCCCCACAACCCCTCACACAACCCCCCACAACCCCCCCCCCCCTAACATAACCCCCCCAAAAAAACCCAACACAACCCCCCACACAACCCTCATATTTATCTCCACTTCCCAGAACCCAGACGGGATGACCATCAGCCGAAAGCTGGTGGACAACACGAAGGACCTCATCACCAAGGACGTCATGAAGATCCCAGACAACCCCGTCTATGGCAACTGGACCGTGACGGCAAAGTTCGTCAACGGGGTGAGTACATTTTGGTTGTTAGTTTAAAGGTGAGAATTGTCCTGGGATAAAGCTGATAGTTAATCCACAGTCAACAGTTACTCGCCAAATATCATTTCGTTGACTTATTATTTTAAATTAATTTTTTAAAAAATATAAATAAATGAATGAAACTCGTAATCATAATATTTTGAAATACCCCCCCCCCCCTTCCTTGCATTTTACAAGCGAATTAAAGTAACAATATCATTTTTTTTTAAATTACTATCAAATTTATCTTCCTTTACAGCTAAAAACGTCAAGTTCTGTGAGGTTTGAAGTTAAAGAATACGGCAAGTCTAACATTTTATGGTCCATATTAAACAAGACTAGACTAGTTTATTTAATATTAATTGAAATGCAAAAGTTAAGCTCTATTTATTTTGAAACATTTCCTTTATTTTGTTTCGTTTTCAGTCCTGCCGACTTTTTCAGTCAGTTTTCACATTCCAGACGAGGCGAAAGTTATTTTAGCAAACGATACGAACATTCGCCTGGTAGTAGGCGCCAAGTAAGGTCTTATCATTGTTCGTGTTGCTTATGTCGTCTCATTAATATCTGTGTTGCTTAAGTTATCTCATCAATGTTCTTGTTGCTTATGTCGTCTCATTAATATCTGTGTTGATTTTGCTAATGTCTCATCATTGTTTGTGTTCTCATACTGCCCAACCAATATTTGCAGTAGGGGTCGTCCATAAATGACGTCACACTCGTAAGGGGGAGGGGGTCCGTAATTTTGTGACAGTGTGTGATAAAGGGGAGGGGAGGGGGGGGGGTCAGATGGCGTGACATCACTTTTTTACATTATAAAAAACAATGTTAGAAAGCGAGTTTTAACCGTTATTTCGCGTTTTAGAAAACGGTTTTAATAAATTGTAATAGGAATTGATCAAAATACTCTATGTTGACAGAGTTCTGACAAGATTTTGGAAAAATATCGATGTTTTAAGAAAAATTCAACAGAAATTTTTAGGGGGGGGGGGGGGTTAGGCTGAGGTGTGACGTCATTTTAGGGGGGGGGGGTCTGGCGTTTTGTGACGACATGTGACCGGAGGGGAGGGAGGGAGGTAAAAATCGTCAAAAAAAGCGTGACGTCATTTATGGATGACCCCTTGCTTATGTCGTCTTATCACTATTTGGGGGGGGGGGGGGATGCCTGAAAGAAACTCTGCAGCCACTGCGTTTAACTATTGGATTGGTAGCGTTTTCAAATGACTTTTGACCTGCAGGTACACATACGGTAAGCCTGTGATCGGTCACGTGACAGTTATTTTTGGACTTCTCTGGCATGGTCACGTGTTCCACGTGGGAAAACAACGGAACTTACAGGTGGGTTTTCATTTGTCCTTTATAGGTGGGTTTTCATTTTCTTTTATAGGTGGGTTTTCATTGTCCTTTATATGTGGGTTTTCATTTTCTTTTATAGGTGGGTTTTCATTGCCCTTTATATGTGGGTTTTCATTGTCCTTTATAGGTGGGTTTTATTTGGTGGTCAATTAGCGATATGTTTTCATCGGTTGAATTTTTACGGGTCATTTTATGCCTCTATTCTAAAAGCTCTGCCTTGTGCCTGGTGCAACCTTCCCCCGCCCCACCCCCTCCCATTTGGCACTATCTACGTTACCGCTCTTCCACTACCTTTTAAAAAGAAAGGATCCATTCTAATTCTAAATAAACTAATTCATTCAAAATAATACAAAAAATCAGTCAAGGGAGATAATATGAATTTATTTCTCCTATAATTAAATCAACACTAAAGCTCATTCTTGCTTATTTTAACGCTCATCCCTAATCTAACTATTTTCCCCCTCACTTTCCCAGTTAAACGCCACCATTTTTTACTTTCTCGTATATACCAAGTATAGAGAAAGTCTTGTAATCGTGCAAAAAAAAAATCGAGATTTTTGCAAATCTCGACGTTTTACTACTCCCTGAGTCGGAAAAGCAGTTTTGCAATCTTGTCCGTATGTCTGTGTGTGTATGTGTGTGTGTGTCTCTGTGTGTGTGTGTAAACACGACAACTTGAGTACCGTTACAGCTAGGTTGATGAAATTTCATATATAAGTATTATATCAAAATCGTAGATCCGTATCAACTTTTGAGCAATTTCCGATAACCGGAAGTGGAACTTTTTCTACTTTCAATTATTCAAAAGCCTATAACTTGAGTATCATTTCAGATAGTTAAATGAAATTTCACATGTAAGTAACATATATATTTTTCTGCCTTCTGTCAAATTTTGAGTAATTTCCGTTGACTGGAAGTAGTAATTTTCCCTATTTCCGATTTCTCAAAAAAGGCATATGAATTTATAAAGTAGCCTACTAATAATATTCTGCACTATTATGCACATTTATTTGGCGTTCACTTGGTGTGCAATTCTTATTTTATTTAAAATGGATTAAAAATCATGTCTATTTCCCGAGTTGCCACCCCCTGTTATTTCTTATAAGAATATTCGAGAAAGTTTAGGGGAGATCACTCCCAATTTATTTCTTTACTTTCCCAGTTAAACGCCACCATTTTTCTTCTGCCTTTCCCAGTTAAACGCCTTCATTTTTTACTTTCCCAGTTAAATGCCACCATTTTTTACTTATATCTTTCCCAGCTAAACGCCACCATTTCTTACTTTCCCATTTAATCGCCACCATTCCTTACTTTCCCAGTTAAACGCCACCATTTTTTACTCTCTCAGTTAAACGCCACCATTCTTTACTTTCCCAGTTAAACGCCACCATTCTTTACTTTCCCAGTTAAACGCCACCATTTTTTCTTTACTTTCCCAGTTAAACGCCACCGGGTTCACGGAATGTGGGATAACCATGGACGAGCTGAGACTTCCGGTGCAGGCCGTCTGGTTCCCCAATGGCGGGAAACTCCATCTGCAGGCCGCGGTTACAGAGCTCGCTTCCGGTCGAATCGAGAAAGCCGATGACGTCAGCATCGTCTTCTCCGACCACCTGTACGTCATCAAGTTCACGCGCTCCTCCAGGCAGTTTAAACCTGGGCTGCCTTACGTCCTAGAGGTCAGTAGGTCACTGGGTCAGTCGAGGCCCTAGAAATCACTGTGTGACTTGGTCAGAAGGAAACCTGGCTGCCGTATATTTTAGAGGTCAATAGGTCAGTGGGTCAGTCGAGGACTTAGAGGTCGTAAGTCAGACTTCGTTCTAGAGGTCAGTTAGTAACTAGGTCAGTCTAGGTCCTAGAGGTCAGTTAGTCACTACGTCAGTCTAGGTATTAGAGGTCAATTAGTAACTAGGTCAGTCTAGGTCCTAGAGGTCAGTTAGTCACTAGGTCAGTCTAGGTGCTAGAGGTCAGTTAGTCACTAGGTCAGTCTAGGTCCTAAAGGTCAGTAAGTCACTAGGTCAGTCTAGGTCCTAGAGGTCAGTAAGTCACTAGGTAAGTCTAGGTCCTAGAGGTCAGTTAGTCACTAGGTCAGTCTAGGTATTAGAGGTCAGTGTATGACTGGGTCAGTCAGGAAAGGGAACCTGGCTCTCGTGTATCCAAGAGGTCAACCAGTCTGGAACTTTCAGGCTACTCGAGATGGTAGCGCTGCTGTCTACACAAAGTATGGGCACTCAAAAATTGTAGGCAGCTCTAGATCTAGATCTTTGATGTCAGTAGATCATTTAGTCAGCCACATAGGCTCTCAGGAATATATATATATATATATATATATATATATATATATATATATATATATATATATATATATATATATACGTATATATATATATATATATATATATATATATATATATATATATATATATATGTGTGTGTGTGTGTGTGTGTGTATGTACTGCTGTGCTCGTGTGTGTCTAAAAAAAGAAGATATATTCACACTTAGAGACGTTTTTAAAAAAGTTAATTAAGTAATTAACTTAAGACCTCTAAACTTGGACTAGATTGACGTGTACAAAGCCAACGGGGACCTGGGTTCGAACCTCCCTATTGCCGTCACGTGTAAAGCGACAACCTCTAAAGACAACACTGAAGAAACCATCTTACCCCTCCACCCCGGGGGCGGGGCCCCACTGCTCACGGACGCCAGGGGTCGGCTTACCGTGACCTACTTCATACCTGCGCACGTGCAGTTGGTTCAGTTCAAGGTGAGTGACGTCATCAGGTTACCTGCCTTTCCTTTGATTATTGCTTACCTTTAAAAAGAAAAATCTAATTTCAGCATATAACGTGTTACGTTTATTTAATTGTTTACTTAATATAAACAAACACACAAAAAAGCGTTTAAAACAATCGTTAAATATAGATTAAAAGTATTTAAAGATTACGCAGATTGTTTGTTGTTTAATATTACCAGTGGCCTTGAAGATTGATGAGTAGCTTTCATAAGATAAAATAAAAACAAAGAAAAACAAAAAACTCCCGTTCCGGCCAGGGTTTGGCCTGGCTTAGTTTAACGACTAGCAGCGATGTAGGTCAATTATTTAATATGGTATTTTACCTATAATTTCACAGTTGTTCTAGGAATTATTTTTTTTAAATTAATTAATAATGTATAAGCAAACGATGTTGTTCTCCTATTTATGGTATTTTAGCAACAATTTCACAATTTTAAATTGAAACGTACTAGAAATTTATTTTTTCTATTAATTAATTATGTGTAAGAGAACAGTGGTCTGGTACGGCTAACCCTATTGTGCGTGATGTTGTCTTACTTAGAACGGTATTTTGCCTCCGATGTTATGTTACAGCTTACCCTTCAGCGTAATGGGAGTTCATATTTCTATAAAATAAAGCGAAAAATTGCTTTGATAAATGTGGAGTAGAGTACGGCTAACCCAATTGTACTGTGACTATTTAAAAATAAAAATGTCACTTTCAGGTCTGGCCGCGAGACGTGAGCATTGACCAACTGACCAGCTCAACATTTGCCTTTGGCGTTAGTCCCTTTTACTCACCATCAGCCGTGTACATGCACCTGCAGGCAACACTAACAGATGTGGTGAGTTCCACCTAACAAAATCTTTTTAAAACATTAAAGGGAAACAACTTTAAAATAACTTCTTACAAATGTATACAGTTCATCTTATCTCCCTTATTTTATTCAACAAATAATAATCTAATAACATTTTTCCCTTCTTTTTGACCTTGTTAATAGTCTATTACAGGTATAACACGATTATTTATTACATTCTTTTATTAACAGTTGATGCAATATCAAAATTTATTATTTTTGAATATTTTTCAATTACTCAGAAACGTCAAGGACAGATGCCTAGGGCCGGAGATTACATAACTGTGTTGACCACATACACGTCAGCACCGGATATTGCTACAGTCAATCTGTTGGTTAGGCATGAATCATCTTGTCATTTTTTATTAATAAGGCATTAATCATCTTGACAATTTTCGTTCATTAGGCATCAAACAATTTGTCATTTCAGTAATAAATTTGTAATTTTGATAGTTTGTATAAATCTCTTTATTATTTTATTTGCTCGGCATCTTTACATATCTGTGTTTTTATACACATTCCTGGAGAAATGTTTTTGTTTTACCTCCAATAAATAGCACATTTGTTTTTTAACCTCTTGTTTCTTAATGGAAGTCAATCAACAAGTGCTAATTTTGTTCTCAAAACATAACAACTCTATAATACCTACCGCAGTGGCGTAGGCAAGGGGGGGGGGGGGGGTTAGGGGTGTAATAACCCCTCCCATGGACTCACACCCCTGTATATATATATATATATATATATATATATATATATATATATATATGATTTTACACATATGGAGAATATTTGAACCCCTCCAATGACTAATTCTTGGCTACGCCACTGACCTGTCATTTCTACTAAAAAAAAGTTCGGTTCAATTATGTCTTTCTCTGAAGCTTTATTGGATTGTATTACTGCTTATTTCGTCTAATTTGCATGAACAAATAATTTCGGCGTTTAATAACTCTAAAGCATATATCAATAAATAAGCGCGTTGCTTATTTCCTCTAACTAACTAAGCACCATCGTGAATCTTATGACAAAAGCAGATAATAAATAATATCCTAAAAAATAAAAAATATAAAATCTAAAATTGTAATGACAATATTTTACATTATGTTAAACTTACGTTGGATGAAGTCAATAACTGACTACCTGTCTGTCACAGATTGTGTCACGTGGTAAGATCGTCTGGCAGGCAAGCACGAGAAACATCATGGGCAACAGCACGACATTCCACCTGCAACTGACCAACGAGATGGCGCCCGGTGCCAGGATACTGGCATTCGCCATCAAGGGCGAGGAGGCGGGGGCGGAGGTGGTGTCCGACTCGGTGTGGATGGACATCATGGGGCAGTGTGACGGTGAGGTATGTTTTGTGACGGTGAGGTATGTTTTGTGACGGTGAGGTATGTTTTGTGACGGTGAGGTATGTTTTGTGACGGTGAGGTATGTTTTGTGACGGTGAGGTGAGATAAAGGTGAGGTATGTTTTGTGACGGTAAGGTGAGAGGTGAGACGGTGAGGTATGTTTTGTGACGGTGAGGTATGTTTTGTGACGGTGAGGTGAGATAAAGGTGAGGTATGTTTTGTGCCGGTGAGGTTAGAGGTGAGGTATGTTTTGTGACGGTGAGGTATGTTTTGTGACGGTTAGATGGGATAAAGGTGAGGTATGTTTTGTGATGGTTAGATGGGAAAAAGGTCAGGTACAATTTGTGACGGTGAGGTATGTTTTGTGACGGTGAGGTATGTTTTGTGACGGTGAACTGAGATAAAGGTGAGGTATGTTTTGTGACGTTGAGGTATGTTTTGTGACGGTGAGCTGAGATAAAGGTGAGGTATGTTTTGTGACGGTGAGGTATGTTTTGTGACGGTGAGGTGTGTTTTGTGACGGTGAGGTATATTTTGTGACGGTGAGGTATGTCTTGTGACGGTGAGGTATGTTTGTGACGGTGAGCTGAGATAAAGGTGAGGTATGTTTTGTGACGGTGAGCTGAGATAAAGGTGAGGTATGTTTTGTGACGGTGAGGTATGTTTTGTGACGGTGTGTTGACATTAAAGTGAGGTATGTTTGGTGACGGTGAGGTGAGATAAAGGTAAGGTATGTTTTGTGACGGTGAGGTATGTTTTGTGACGGTGAGGTGAGATAAAGGTGAGGTATGTTTTGTGACGGTGAGGTATGTTTTGTGACGGTGAGGTGAGATAAAGGTGATGTATGTTTTGTGACGGTGAGGTGAGATAAAAGTGAGGTATGTTTTGTGACGGTGAGGTATGTTATGTGACGGTGAGGTATTTTTTTTTGACGGTGCAGTATGTTTTGTGACGGTGAGGTATGTTTTGTGACGGTGAGGTATGTTTTGTGACGGTGAGGTATGTTTTGTGACGGTGAGGTATGTTTTGTGACGGTGAGGTATGTTTTGTGACGGTGAGGTATGTTTTGTGACGGTGAGGTGAGATAAAGGTGATGTATGTTTTGTGACGGTGAGGTGAGATAAAAGTGAGGTATGTTTTGTGACGGTGAGGTATGTTATGTGACGGTGAGGTATGTTATGTGACGGTGCAGTATGTTTTGTGACGGTGAGGTATGTTTTGTGACGGTGAGGTATGTTTTGTGACGGTGAGGTATGTTTTGTGACGGTGAGATGTTTTCTAGGGTTGATGTATGTTTTGCCATGGTGAGGTAAGATATGGCGAGGTATGTTTTGTGATAGCAATATATGTTTTGTGGCGGTGAGGTAGTATTTGCGACGGTTAGGTATTATTCGTGAAGGATTTGTAGGTTTTTGTAGTAGTGAGGTAGTTCTTGTGGTGGTAATGTGGGTTTTTGTAAGTAGAGGTAAGTATTTTACGGTGACGTAACATTTGAGTAGCTAGTTGCGCAGCTTTCGTTGTAACCTTTGTTTTGACCTGTCATGAAATGTTTCTTAACGCTAACCTAAATCCCATTCCCCAGTTGTCCATAAAACGTGAGGATGATAGCAAGAAAACCCTACGACCTGGTGACATAGGAACGGTAACTCTAACAGGAGTCCCCAACATGGTTGTCGGCCTTTTAGCAGTAGACAGCGCCGTGTACCACCTCAAAAACAGCTCACTAACTAGACGATCGGTGAGTTGTTTTGGTTTTTCTTTTCCACCAACACACTGTGTGTTTGTTTTGATTTGACGCCGTGTTTACAAGTTAACTAAAAGTTACATAGTTAAACTGTCAGTGAATTCAGTACGTGTTCTCTCCTCTTTTTTTGTGCAGGTGTTTCAGCAGCTGAGTGCGCATGACAGAGGGTGTGGTTACAGTGGCGGGAGAGACACGGCCAAAGTTTTTGAGGTGAGTGATTTTTTTTTTCTTCCACCTTAAAAAGGGAGGAGGGTGGGGATTTGGGTTGCAGTAGTCTTATGTAAATTTTTATTCTCACCCAGATTACCAACAACCTAACACACCTATTTTCGGAAGAGTCTATAATCGAACATCGGTAGTAGTTTAGATTAATTTAGTATTAGGTCAACTACCAGTAGCCCAACACCACTTTTTCAAGAAACTTCCATTTTTTGTGGCATTACGGGGCACTGGTATAACACAAACCATCATAAATCCTTCCTTATTTATTAAATAAATTACAAGGTAATTAACAAACGAGTTAGCACGGTCCAGTCCATTTCTTACGCCACCAGTATGACCGTGATTTCGTGAATTCGATCTTGACCCCCTACTCCCCAACATAATGACCTTTGACCTCTTCTCTCCTCCAGTACTCTGGTCTGACGGTGCTGACCAACGCAGGAGTCACCATGACGCCGAAGACTGTAGAAGGCTGTGCGGACAAGATGGTCAGGAAGAGAAGGTCACCTGAAGCGAGTAGGTTCGAATCCCACTCTGTCTAAAACAGACATTTTTTTCTATGTGGGGATGCATTTGAACTTTACCGGAAGGGGGGGGGGTTATGGGGATAAATAATTTATTTTCTGTATAAAAGGTTACATCAAACTTAGCTTTTTAACTTAGAAGTGGGTTGTCCGGGGTGTTTATGCTTGTGTGAGGATTATGCTAAGTGTTTTGTCCCTCTTTCTGTTACTGTTTCGTCCCGATATAAATTTCACTGGACTGATTTGTCTATCTGGCCAGAAAAGCGCGCGCTAGACTTGTGTTGCCTGGAGGGCGCCTCGTTATACAACGCCTCGCTCTCACTGTGTTACTATGCGTCACAGCAACTGAAAAAGAGGATGACCTTTGACCTGTGCGCGCAAGAGTTTTTCAGGTGCTGCAAAGACATTGCTAAAGGGAGGATATCACTAGATAGCTTGGGAAGTAAGTCTTATACGAGTTGTCGTTATTTGAATTAACTTATTGTTTCAAAAGAAAATAAAAAAATCAGCCTTAATAAATTAAACATGAAATCGAGTAACATTGTCCTTTGAAATTTTTTCAATTGGATGTATAAGCTTGAATCAAAAATTGTAAGTTATGTTGAAGAAGAAATTGTTTAGATATATAATAAAAGACTTCATTTAGAAATGTCAACTTACACTTCATTTGGCGTTTTTTTTTTTGTAATTGACTATTGCATCGCCATATCGTTAGAAAGGGGAATAAGGCACCCAGACACCCCCCCCCCCCGTCCAGTGGCGTCACTAGGGGGTAGGGGTGCGGACAGAACTGTATGACATCACCCAAGGGGGTGATACCCGAACGATAAAAAAAAATATCCAATAAGAAAGCCTGCTTTTTCCATTTAGTTTAAAAGTTTAATAAGTTGTTACATTTAATTATATCATTGGTAAGAGGTGGGCACGATTCGGGATAAGGGTGACACCAAAGTGCTTATAGTTTTAGTATATCAGGTACATAGTTATAGAAGGAAGTGGTGACACCATCCCGGGTATCACCCCAACTAGTGACACAACTGCCCCCCCCCCCCCCCCCCCCCCCACCATCCTCCGTCTACCGTTTAACTAAATTGTCTAAATCTTCCAATTACATCGGCCACTGAGCCAGTCAGTAACGCTTAGGAAAAGAGAAATAACCAAAAAATACAAAACACAGAACAAGCTAGGATTGGAAACAAAATGTTTTTTTTTTTTCAGATTAGAACTTTAGTGTTTTTTTAGCTTGTCTCCTCTAGGCTTTGCTGATGGTAATTTAACATCATCTTTTCCCCTTTCGTGTTATAAGTCAGTTGGGGTTGATGAAGTAGAGTTCATCTGTTTCATTACCCTCGGCATACCCTTCCTTGAATAGTATGATCAGCACTATGCCGAGCCGCCTTTATCTACCTAACGTGAGTCAGGTACTCATCAAAGCTGAGTCGACTCATAGACGACATCCAGGGATGCAAACTCGAGACTTTCAAGTTAGCAGTCGTGAGCTCTACCATCCGACCACGCCGTCCCAATGTAGTTTATAGTTAGCTTCTAATGATCGAACAGTTTTTCTTGTAACTTAAGGAATGATGGGGATACCGAAGCGGGCGGGGGACGAACTGGAGGTGGCACTGGATGAGGACGTGATGCAGATCAAGAACATCCCCATAAGGACAAACTTCCCAGAGTCGTGGTGGTTTGAGGAGTACAACCTGGGGTGAGTTCTTACAGCTGGCTCGTGGGTCTTTGTTTGGGTCTTAGGTGGGTCTTAGGTGGGTGGTGGTTTGTGGGTCTAAGTTGTGTCGTGATTTGGGGGTCTTAGGTGGGTGTTGGTTTGTGGGTCTTAGGTGGGTGTTGGTTTGTGGGTCTTAGGTGGGTGTTGGTTTGTGGGTCTTAGGTGGGTGTTGGTTTGTGGGTCTTAGGTGGGTGTTGGTTTGTGGGTCTTAGGTGGGTGTTGGTTTGTGGGTCTTAGGTTGGTGTTGGTTTGTGGGTCTCTGGTGGGTGTTGGTTTGTGGGTCTCAGGTTGGTGTTGGTTTGTGGGTCTCTGGTGGGTGTTGGTTTGTGGGTCTTTGGTGGGTGTTGGTTTGTGGGTCTTAGGTGGGTGTTGGTTTGGGGGTCTCAGGTGTGTCTTGATTTGTGGGTCTTAAGTGGGTCTTGACGTGTGGGTCTTACGTGGGTCTTAGGTGTGTTTGTGACTTGAGTGTCTTAGGTGTGTCTTGATTTGTGGGTTCTTGGTATGTCTTGACTTGTGGGTCTTAGGTGTGTCTTGAATTGGGGGTTCTTGGTGTGTCTTGAATTGTGGGTCTTAGGTGTGTGTTGACCTGTGGGTTTTAAGTGTGTCATAGGTTTGTATTATGTATCAAAGGTGTGTCTTTAATTGTGGGTCCACAAAGTGACCTAATTCATGGGCCATAAATGTATCAATGTTTGTTTGTGTGTGTCTTAAGTTGTCTTTTTTGTGGGCCAAATCTGTGTCTTCACTAGTGGGCCATAGATGTGACAGGACTTTTGGCCCATAAGTCTGTCCTGGCTTATGGGTCATATGTGTGCCCCCATGCCCAGACTATATGTGTGTCCTAACACACTGAATGTATGTGTGTTCAGACAACAGAAAAAAAATCCATTTGTCTGACACTATGCACGGACATACCTTTGTCCTGAATACCACATATACGTTATAACAGGGGTTCCCAGCCTTTTTTTTTACTCTAGTGCACATTCTAAAATATCGGTAGGGTGGCGGGCACCACCTTTTTTAAATCGTCAAACTCCTTCCAGAGGCGTAGCAACCCTTCCCGTCACCCGGGGACAAAACTTTCGATTTGCACCGCCCCCCCCCTTCAAACTTTCGATTTGCACCCCCCCCCTCAAACTTTCGATTTGCACCTCCCCCCTTAATTTTCGATGTCAATCCCCTTCAACAAAAAATCTTGTCTCTGTCGAATAGTGAGAGGCGGGCACATACGAATCGTTCGGCGGGCGCCATGGCGCCCGCGGGCACGGGGTTGGTAACCCCTGCGTTATAAGAAAGTCAAACTATCATTTGTAGCGTAATACAACCATCTTTCTCAGAGAACTCAGATTTGATAATCTATCTCACTAACGTATCCTCGGCTGTAGTCTGTATAGGGCTGGTAAGTAGGTCACCAACCAGTTCTACGGCTCAATAAAATCTGCATGAGCCATAGAACTGGTTGGTGACCCACTTACCAGCCCTATTTCTGAATAAAAAATACTACGTAAGCTACTCCAATTTTTCACTCCATTTAATTTGACTTATTTTATTATTTTTAGTAAGGCAAACAGATCTCTAAAAGAGAAACCACTGTCCTTACAATATTTCAATTCTTGAAGACCTCTCCCTTGCTCCCCTATTTGCTACGCCTCTGTTCACAGTTTTCACCCACACCCCCTTAAATATGGGACGGAGTGGTCTAGCGGTAGAGAGCTGGACTGCTTACCCGTAAGTCTCGAGTTTGAATCCGGGTTCAAGTCAGTAGACCGTCCCTGAGTCAAACCAACTCTGATGGGTACCTAACTCATGTTATGGAAAGTAAAGGCGGCTGGGCATAGTGCTGACCACGCTATCTCTTCATATGCCGAGGTCACAGAAACAAGTGAACTCTACTTCACTTGCCCCATAGACCGTCTGGTTTGAAAGAGAAACTTTACTTTTACGTTAAATAAAACTTCCGGCAACTTTAACTTCCGGAAACTTTAACTTCCGGCATCTTTAACTTCCGCAGACCGGAAGGCCGAGCAGACGTAGACTTCGTGCTGCCAGACTCCATCACGACCTGGTCTGTGGAGGCGCTGGGCATGTCCATGGAGACGGGGCTCTGTCTGGCCCCGCCCCTTGAACTCGTGACCTTCAGCTCCTTCTTCGTTCACCTTGACCTTCCTTACAGCGTGATCCGCCTTGAGCAGCTGGAGGTCAGGGCCACAGTGTACAACTACATGAACAGGAAACTGAGGGTATGAACTTCTCTTATAGAGGAATTTAGTTACCAATTGAGAGTATGAACATCTCTTATAGATGGATTTAGTTACCAATTGAGGGTATGAACTTCTCTTGTAGGTGGATTTAGTTACCAATTGAGGGTATGAACTTCTCTTGTAGGTGGATTTAGTTACCAATTGAGGGTATGAACTTCTCTTGTAGGTGGATTTAGTTACCAATTGAGGGTATGAACTTCTCTTGTAGGTGGATTTAGTTACCAATTGAGGGTATGAACTTCTCTTGTAGGTGGATTTAGTTACCAATTGAGGGTATGAACTTCTCTTGTAGAGGGATTTAGTTACCAATTGAGGGTATGAACTTCTCTTGTAGGTGGATTTAGTTACCAATTGAGGGTATGAACTTCTCTTGTAGGTAGATTTAGTTACCAATTGAGGGTATGAACTTCTCTTATAGAGGGATTTAGTTACCAATTGAGAGTATGAACATCTCTTATAGAGGGATTTAGTTACCAATTGAGAGTATGAACATCTCTTATAGAGGGATTTAGTTACCAATTGAGGGTATAAACATCTCTTATAGAGGGATTTAGTTACCAATTGAGAGTATGAACATCTAGAGTGATTTAGTTACCAGTTTAGGGTATGAACATCTCTTATAGATGGATTTATTTACCAGTTGAGGGTATGAACATCTCTTATAGAGGGATTTAGTTACCAATTTAGGGTATGAACATCTCTTGTAGAGAGAGTTAGTTACGAACTATTTCCAACTTAATTACCCTTTATTATCAACCATCATACTTCGACATAATTATCCCTAATTAATAATGCCCACTGCCCTGTTTGTTTATATCTAGTTAACAATTATAACTTAATACTCCTAATTAACAAAGGCCATTTTTTCTAGATAATAATATCTAAATTTTCCTAATGCCCCACTTAATAACTCATAATTAGCAATCACTTTTGTCCAGTTTAAGTATCCCTAATTAACAATAACCACTACCCTACTTAACTACTTCTAATTACAAACGACCTTGTCATTGCCCAGGTGAACCTACTCATGCATAGCGTGGATGGAATCTGCTACTCCAGCCCTCCAGGGGAGCACACAGACTTCATTAGGCTGGAGATCGAACCCAACGAGGCGGCCTCTGCCTACTTTCCCATTGTGCCGCTGGAGATTGGGGAATTCCCGATCACGGTCAAAGCCTTTTCGTCATGGGGGAGGGACGCGGTGGAGAGGATATTGAGAGTCGAGGTAGGTGGTGTGTGGGTGTTTTGGTGTGTGTGTGTTTAGGTGGTGTGTGGTATTTTGGTGTGTGGGTAGGGTGCGCGGACCTTTGACCACAGGTGCTTTGACCATAGGGGGTTTGACCATAGGGGCTTTGACCACAGCGGAGCTTTGACCATAGGGGCTTTGACCATAGGTGGTTTGACCACAGCGGGCCTTTGACCATAGCGGTGCTTTGACCATAGGGGGTTTGATCATAGGGTGTTTGACCATAGGGGGTTTGACCACATGTGTTTTCTCAGCAGAGGGTCTTTGAACACAGGTGGTCTATCAACGGGTGTTTGATCACAAGCGCTGTATCCAGCTTTGGTCATAGGTGTGATACAATTAACACGATTTTATACATGTTTCCTGAGAGTACGTTAATAGAAATTAACATGTATTTAAAAAAGCCAAGAATTATATTTTAGTCTCCACATAAAGGCTGGCGCTAGACCTCATAGATTTATTTTAAATATAAATGAAACACAAATAATGCGACATATAACAAGTTTCACAAATAAATAATGTAGAAGTACTTGAAAATACATATCATATATAAAGGATAAAAAATGAAACAAAACTTACCAAAAATATAGTCAAAGATGTAATACATAAAATGGTTAACTAAATGACAGATGTGCTATAGCACGCAAATATGTCAGTACATCTGTTTGACCATATTATTACATCATGTCAAAATTTAAAATATAATTTAGCAACTTTTAAAATAAATCCTTACCATATATGGACAGCATTGGACAAACCACCTGAGATCAAAGACCCTATGTGGACAAAACACCTATGATCAAAGCCGGACACAGCGCTTGTGATCAAACACCCGTTGATAGACCACCTATGATCAAAGACCCTCTGCTGAGAAAACACCTGTGGTCAAACCCCCTATGGTCAAACCCCCTATGATCAAACCCCCTATGGTCAAAGCACCGCTATGGTCAAAGCCCCGCTGTGGTCAAACCCCCTATGGTCAAAGCCCCTATGGTCAAAGCTCCGCTGTGGTCAAACCCCCTATGGTCAAACCCCCTATGGTCAAAGCACCTGTGGTCAAAGGTCCTAGGACCGTGGGTAGTTAGGTGTGTGAATATTTAGGTGGGTGGGTATTTTGGTGAGTGGGTGGATATTTAGGTGGGTGGATATTTAGGTGGGTGGATATTTAGGTGAGTGGATATTTAGGTGAGTGGATATTTAGGTGAGTGAATATTTAGGTGTGTGGGTATTTTTGTGTGTGGGTAGTTAGGTGTGTGAATATTTAGGTGGGTGGGTATTTTGGTGAGTGGGTGGATATTTAGGTAGGTGGATATTTAGGTGGGTGGATATCTAGGTGAGTGGGTGTTTAGGTGGGTGGGTATTTAGGTGTGTGGGTGTTTTGGTGGGTGGATATTTAGGTGGGTGGATATTTTGGTGGGTTTGTATTTATGTGGGTGAATGGGTGTTTGTGATGTATGATGAAGGAGATGGATGAGGCAATACAGATTTAAAATGAGAAACGTCATTACGGGTGACCCATAATTAGGTTTTTACTTGTCTTTTACTTATAGGCCAATTTGTGCTAATTAAAAAACAAATTTCGGTGTGTAATGAATACATAATTTGCTATCAAAATCACAATACAATAGTTAAATAAAAGAACTATTTCCCAGGGCGAAGGTATCGAGAAGATCCACACCATCTCTGTTATGTTGGACCCCAGTGGCAAAAGATTCCTCCGCCATCGCCCATCCAACCAAACATTCAACGTCAAAAGTGAGTACCCTTTTCCAGTTCTTTTTAACTGAATTATTTCTTCATTTTTTCATTGCAATTATAATACACTGGCATTGCTTGTTTTTTTTTAAGTACTTCATCTGCTCAATGGATCGCTAAGTCTATAGATGAATTATCACATTTTTTTATAATTGTGGGGATAGCCCCCCCCCCTCCCCCAAAGGAGAGATGCCTAAAAGAAACTCTTTAATCTCATTATCTATGCAACTGACCACCATAACTCCCCCTACCCCCTACACTGACCACCATACCTACCCCTACCCACTGACCACCATATCTCCCCCCTACCCCCTACACTGACCACTCTTGTATTCCAGACGAGGTCCGAGTGGCCGAGAAGCGCCAGAGCGTAGAGCTTGACCTTGACCTACCACAGGAAGTGATCCCCGACACGGACAGCTGCACACTGCACGCGATGGGTGAGTACTCTGTCACGTGTCATCTGCAGGTCAGGTGAGAATAGGGCTTGTAAGTAGGTCACAACTTCTCGTTCTCCTACTTACCAGCTAGTAGATTTCGAGACCGTAGACTTACAAGCCCTATAGACTAGAACACCTGGGCATATTGAGTTAGTGAGTTGAATTCAACCCTGTGTTGTTGTTTTTTTATGTACGTTCACACCAAGGCTAAATGTGGGTCTAAAAGACGTGTGCACGATAGTAGAGACAGTGGCGTAGCGAGGTCGGGTGTCATCCGGTGCGGCACTTAATGGTGTCACCCCCCTGAGGCGTAGCGACCTTTCCCGGGGACAAACTTTCAATTTTCGATTTGCACCCCCCCCCCCCTCAAACTTTCGATTTGCACCCCTACCCCTCGAACTTTCGATTTGCACCTCTTAGAAGACTATTTAACACTCGAATTAATCACTTAATTAAGTGGAATTATCATTTTTCTTTCTAGATTTTGCTATTTTTTCCTTGGTGCCACCCCCGTAAATGGTGTCACCCGGTGCAGTCCGCATCCCCCGTCCCCCGTCCCCCTCGCTACGCCTCTGAGTAGAGGTGAGGTTGTTGACGACTGGTGTTAATGATTGTTTGAAGATTTGTTGTTTGATAGCTTGAAGAAGGAAGTTGCTGTGAAGTGTGTGCTGTATAACGAGAAGAAAATTAATCAACTAAATCATTAGGTAGGGGTCATCCATAAATGACGTCACCCATTTTCTTTTTGACGATTTTTACCTCCCTCCCCCTTCCCTCTGTCACATATCGTCACAAAAAGCCAGACCCCCCCCCCCCTAAAATGACGTCACACCTCAGCCTACAACCCGCTCAAAACTGCAGTTGAATTTTTCTTAAAACATCGTTATTTTTCCAAATTCTTGTCTGAACTCTGTGAAAATAGAGTATTTTAATCAATTCCTATTACAATTTATTGAAACAGTTTTCCAAAACGCGAAATAACGTCTAAAATTCGTTTTCTAACCTTCCTTTTTTATAATGCAAAAGTGTGACCTCACACCATCTGAACCCCCACCCCGTCACCGTCACAAAATAACGGACCCCCCTCCCCCTACTAGTGTGACGTAATTTATGGACACCCCCCCCCCCCCCCTGTAGTATGTTTTGGATTGAAAACAATCGCAAGAAGCGGAGAGAACGTGCATCCATATGTTTTTACAATTGTTGTTTACATAGATCAATACTAAGCTCTTCAGAAGACAACAGATTTCTTAATTTTGCAGACCCGATCAATTTACTCTAAGAATAATGCGCTCTTCACGGATAGTTTTAAAACATAATGCAATCTATTAAAAAAACATTCATTTCTAGCCCAAGCTTTCAAAACCCAAATGTTAGCGCTGTAATACCTTAAAACAGTATTGCAAACCCTTAAAGCAGAATCAGAGACCCCCATCCCCTCCTAACATTTCTCGTACACATACAAAACAACTCTATGCATTTCATAAACACAGTGGCGTAGCGAGGTCGGGTGTCACCCGGTGCGGCACTTAATGGTGTCACCCCCTCAGAGGCGTAGCGACTCTTCCCAGGGACAAACTTTCAATTTTCGATTTGCAACCCCCCCCCCTCGAACTTTCGATTTGCACCCCCCCCCCTCAAATTTTTCTCTATATATTTTACTATGTTTTGCCTTGGTGTCACCCCCCTAAATGGTGTCACCCGGTGCGGTCCGCACCCCCGTCCCCCCCCTCGCTACGCCTCTGCATAAACATAATTACCTCCAGCGTTTCACATACCTTCCTCACGTATTACTCCTTACAACTGAAATCAAAAGTTGAAGCAAATTTGAGCTATGGACTTGAGTTTCCGTTCTTTGCCTCTAGAAATACGAACTGATCTCCCTTAATTTTCCCCCCTCCCCCCCCCCTTCCCCAGGCGATCTTCTGGGCCCCACCCTACAAGTGATGATAGACGGGGTGACGGAACTCCTGCGGATGCCGACCGGATGCGGTGAGCAGAACCTGATCTACCTGGCACCGAACGTGTTCGTGACCCGGTACCTGAGGTCAACCAGGAGACTCTCGGCTCTCATTGAGAAGAAGGCCATCGCCCTCATACGTCAAGGTCAGTTCTTCTGGCTAGGTTGGGGGGGGGGGAAGGTTGGCATTGGGTGTGGGTTGTCAAGGTCGATGTCGGGACTGGGTGAGTGTCAAGGTCTACATCAGAATTGGGTGAGGGTCAAGATCGGAAGAGGTGGGTTGGGGTCAAGGTCGACATCAGAATTGGGTGAGGGTCAAGATCGGAAGAGGTGGGTTGGGGTCAAGGTCGACATCAGAATTGGGTGAGGGTCAAGATCGGAAGAGGTGGGTTGGGGTCAAGGTCGACACAGGATGTGGGAGAGGGTCAAGGTCGATATCGGGGGGGGGGGGGGGGTGAGTGTCGAGATCGACATAGGAGGTGGGTGTCTAGGTCGAAAGAGTTGGGTGAGGGTCAAGGTCGATATCGGATGTGTGCGAAAACAATTTTTTTGTACATGCTGCCTCATAAAACTAAAGTAGATGTGTTTTTATTTATTTTTAGGCGTGTCCAAACAGGCATACTTCAGGAAGTCCGACGCGTCATATGGTACCTGGCCACATGCCGATTCCAGTACTTGGTGAGTACTTACTAGCAGTTGCCAGTATTAGCGATTTCCCCAATGTTGTCAAGTCTCTCTAAAACACAGACATTGAAATAAAACAATCAACAAAATGGACAAATAGCCATAAAACAATCAACAAAAGATGTACAAATAGCCATAACACATTCAACAAAATGTGTACAAATAGCCATAACACATTCAACAAAATGTGTACAAATAGCCATAAAACATTCAACAAAATGCGTACAAATAGCCACAACACATTCAACAAAATGCGTACAAATAGCCATAACACATTCAACAAAATGTTGACAAATAGTCATAACACATTCAACAAAATGTTGACAAATCGACTTAAAACAAAAGTAATAAAATACTTCTGTTATATAAGCAAAAATGTCGGATCAATTTGGCAAATCAATTACATTTCATCTGTTTCTCAGAAAAGAGTGTATGTTCAGCACTATACCCAGCCGTGTTTACTTTCTCCAATTAGAGTCTGATAGCCTTCACAGCTTAATGTACTCGAGAGTTTCTGGCTAGCAGTCGTTTGCTGTACCACCTGACTACCCCATCTGATTGTGTTAAAAAAACAACTTGCATATTATTGATACGCCAGCATTCGTTTTGCTAGCATAGGTATTACTGTAACAACATTGTACATCTTTCTTCTAGTATAAAGGGTTAGTCTCCAGGGGAAAAAAAAAGGGAAAATAACTTTTAAATTAATTAGGCTTTTTGAAAATTTATTTGTGTGTAAGTTACGGTATTTCAGCGAAAATATCTGCATGCATCGGGGGCTCTTCTTAACATATAGTTGTCATGGAAACATCAAATAATTTGTAAACAGTCAAGTGTTTTCCTGTGATGTGAAACAACCTTTTTACAGTTTTCACAAAGAGTTGCACATATCACACAACAGATGAAACACAACTAAACAAAGCACATCACGTTTTCATCATTTATTGAGCGTTAAAAAACAACTGCCATTCAATAGATGAAAATATAAGAGTATAATTATACCTAGAAAATGCATAACTGTTATTAAGTAAGTAAGAACAATCTTTGTATTAAAATATACAAGGTGATTCAAAAATTTTATATTCTAGAAAAGAAAGAAAAACAAACGTTGCGTTATTGATTTCAGATTTCGATAACAATTCTGAAATAAAATAAAAAAATTAGGTGGTAAAAAAAAAACTTGACACTTTTTCAAAAATTGTTTTCATTAGTTAACTAATAAATTTCAATCAAGGAATTTTTAGTGCTGAGACCAGCGTACACGTTTCTCCAAAAAACTAATAAACTGCTTGAAATTAATTTCTCTCGAAATTTAGATAGAAAAAAAAGTATTATTTAGTAAAAATTCTTTTATATCCGACAGCCGTCAAGTTATGATACATAGCTGCAATGCTAACATTTGATAAAACATTGTACATGCACATAACATATACTTCATAAAATATACAAGTGTATTAACCTGATTCTATTGATCTATATCTCAATACTCTAAACCTAATCATAGCCATAACACTGTGTTTTTACTTATCACCGTGTGACACCGCAGAACTTGCATGAGCAAGTGGCCTTATACCTGCTCTCTAACCACGGCATCAAGCCAATATCACCTTCTTGGGGAAAGCGCGACCCTTCTTCTTGCGTCTGGCAAAGAAGTTGACCTCGGGGAAGCACTGCCTCCAGAGTTCTCTCATCTCGTCCGCGTCCTCGCACATGTCGTACTCACTGAGCATCGTATCCGAGATTTGATTCGTGGCGTGTTTCGCGTCCCCTTGTTCGCGGTTCAAACGTATAGCGGGTAACGCGTAGTTCATCGTCGTAACGCTGCCTTCCGTGGTGACAAAATGCAACGCTTCTTCTTCTAATTTCTTCTTCTTGATTTCCCGGAACCGTTGAAGTTTCTTGGGGATGATCATCTTGGGTAGAGTCCGGCTGAAGATATCTGCGATGCTGGTGGGACCTTTAGTCTTGGCGTGGTGGGTGAGATAATCAGAGTCTACGCCAGAGCCGTCGTCTGAGAGACTGGAAGATGACTCTGACAGACTCACGCTGCTACTGCTGGAAGAGGAGTCAGTGTCAGAGTGACGCCGATTTCGTTTCACGCCGACTCTTTTCCTGGTTTTCGCGCACTTCTCCGTTTTGAAGTTCTTGCTGGGGGTTTTATTTATAGCACACGCGGGGGCGCTTTCACGCGCGGACTTAAACTTGGCCGTGTTTTTGAAATGATGGTAAACAAGTTCTTTCTCCATACCTGCTTTAGGTGATACGACTCTACTAGTGCGATGGGGCTGCGGTTTCTTTTCCGTGTTGCTTTTCTTACACACTCTCGTAGGATACTGGACATAATTCGTCACCCACTTCGCTTTATCTTGCGAACCCACAGGCAAGAAACAATCCGCGTCTTCGTTATTTTTTGTGTTGGTCCTACTACTGATGAGTTCTTCTTGCGTAGACTCGGTTAGCGCCATCGACGCCTCGTAACTTAGATTCCGTCCCTGTTCTTCCTCCGTGGAGACTTCCGTGTTTTCCTTCTGCTGGTGAAGTTCTTTCTTGATTTCCTGCAGCCTCTGCTGGTGCTGCAGCCTTTGCTGTTGGAGCCTCTCCTCCTCGTCCTCCTGAATGATCTGCTTCAGCATCGTGTATTCCTTGTTGAAGTCTTCAATCTCCTGCTGACGTAGGCTCTCGATCTCCCTCCACCACCATTCTTTAGTGAAGACATTCGGCGTGGCGAGGGACGGGTTGGGTATGGTGATGTTCTTCATAGCCGTGAAGTTTTTCTGGAACTCGACGCTTCTTTTGGCCGCAGCCACCGGCACGTTGTAGGAACCGCGCTGCTGCTGCGGCGTCTGGTTCACAGTCGGCGTCAAACTCGGCAGTTCCGCAGACCTCATGCGAGATATCTTCTGCCGCTTCAGCCGCCGTCTACATTCCGGTAAAGTGTTCCTTGGAATTGCAACGCCGTTGCTGCTTATAGTCCATCTGGAGGTAAACTTATCCCGAACTATTAACATGTTCGTACCCGTTTCCTGTTTCATCTCACCTTCATGTGAAATCGGAAACGAGATACAATCTCCGCATTTTAGACAGTACACAGCCGAGTTATCTAATCGATTATGTTCATCGTTCTCTCCATGAGCTTTGGGGACGGACAAATCAAACCGAACGAAGGGTCTCTCGGATTGTTTAAAAGTATCATGGCACTGCATGCACAAGTTAGATTCTCTCTCGTAAGACGCCGTTTCCTCTTCCAGCCGACTTTGACGCTCCGCGTTAACGATGCACTGTGGCACCCATCCGCAAGTCAGCTCAAAGTACTTAGAACACCCGTGGACTTTCGCGATGTCGTAGGTGTTGACCAGAATGGACTGCGCCTCTTCGCGGTTGTTGACCTGGGCAGCGAACAGGTAGAGCTGGTTGTCCGTGAAGGCGGAGGCGGGGAGGTTTGGGGTGTACAGGACCAGCCGCGCTGCCTGGATTCCCTTGCCCTTGAACTTGGCCCCTGGCTCGTCCTGCCCCAGTTCTTCGGATTGGAGCACAGCGTAGATGCCTTCTTTGATGGAGTCGACGGTGAAAATTCTAGAAAAGGACATTGTATAAACGACAAGCTTAGTATTGGGATTTGTTGGAATTATTATTTATTTTATTAAAAATAGCATGCTAGTGAAAGACAAAAAGAAATTAAATTTAAAATATGTCTACATTATCGCTCAGTTAGGTTGCTATGATAATGTATGTTTCTAACAAGAGCATAATGTTTTGGCAAAAAATGAAAACATTTGTCATTTATTAGATAATTCTCATTTTGCTAAATCTCTACCCGGGATACAGTTCTGTTTGTGAATTTTGGCGGGTCAACGTATTGTATAATATGTTTGTTGTTAAGGTTAAGAACTAACACACGTTTAAACGTAATCTCGTATAGGATTGTCTTATAGACAAGATAATGTTGTTTAGGTTAGATCTTGAGTGCTGTTTTAGATCAACTTCAGTGAAGGGCAAAATTTAATAGTTATCTACAGAAGTAAGGACTTAAATGACGCGTTGCGGCGGTTGTATCCCTAAATCAGCTCAAAGTTTAAACAAAACAAAAAAAAAACATCTCACAATCGCGATTGATTGAATGTCACGTGTGCTAAAAAATGTCCAACTCACCTCTCGACCATCCGGCCCTTGTCGTGTGTACAGAAGACGGGCAGTGTCTGGACGATACAGCCATCCAGCCACGGCTTGTAGTAGACGTTCTTCCCGCACTGTCTCACCTGTATGACCACAGGGATCATCTCCACAGGCTTCAGTGACCGCACCTGGAAGGCTGGGATGTAGCTGATGGCCCTAGTCACCATCTCCAGACATCCCAGCAGACGCTGCTTGTCCAGCCCTATCGTCTGCAGGATGTCGGTACCACGCAGCTGCTTCAGGAAATAACGGTCCAGGTTGTTCCTCGTTTGGAACCGCTGGGGTAGTTTATGGCTGTAGAACTGCGCTTGCTTGAAGTACTTCATCGCCATGATGCGGTACAAATCCCCACTGCGTTCGTACTCTGAAGCAGATTTTTGCACGTTGGTCTGATCTCCGAACCAATTTTCCGTGTCAGTTGTTAACATTTCGTTTTTCGTTTCCGTGTCTTCTTTACTGACTTCAGTTTTGTTATCCCCACCCTGAAGCACATCTGTTTCGTCATCCGCCTTCTGTAAACTGATTCTCTCCGCGTGTGTTTCGTCGTTGATTTCCGTAATTTCCGAAGACGTGCTGTTCTGGCTGCCTTGCTTGACCAGTCTGCTCCTGTCCTGTTTTTCCTGCTGCCCGCTGACCCTGTCTATGATCTCCGTGGTGTGGGAGTTTTCCGACTCCTCGTGTACACTACCGCTCAGCTTGGCGCTCCGGGCACATCCCAGACTTCCCCCAAGCTCCGGGCTGTCCAGCGGCGTTAAACAAATCTCCTGAGACGCCATTTCAGGGAAAGACTCGCTGGTGAAATCTCCTAGTTGATGATTGGTTATCTCCTTCTCGGCTGATAAGACCATGCTTTTGAGGTTGATCATTGAACAAGAGGGGGTGGAGTAACCTGAGGCCTGGGAGGCGGAACGGAAGACGTCGCTCCAGGACTGCGTGGCGTGGGCGTTGCCCGCGTCTCCTGGAAAAGGGGGAGGGACCTTGACCTTCTCCCATGTAAACGACCGCCCTTGTTTCCCGCGGAGCTGCCACTTTTCCTGCTCAAAGTTTTTGAACGCGTTCTCGTAGCGCTTGAAGTCGTGCCCCAGCAAATCGTGAGAGCTGACGTTCTCGTAGCGCTTGAAGTCGTGCCCCAGCAAATCGTGGGAGCTGACGTTCGCCTTGTAGATCTCGTCAATGTGTGAGTTGTCCGGGTACTCTACTGACTTCGTGTTGAATCTCCTGGCCTTAATGATCGACGGCAGAAGACGTTCGGAAGATTTCCCTTGGTTTGATTTCCCGATGTTGCTTCTGTTCGATCTCCCGCATGTCTTTGTATCCTTCTGTTTGCAAGTAGAAGAGGCGGAAGTGCCGTCGTCGCATGATATTTTCATGAGGTTGGAGCCGGAGGAGACGGACTCGGCTGATAACGACAGGCGAGCGTCTCTTCTCTTCTCGGCAGTACCCGTCTGCTTGTCATTCGTCTCAAGGAATGGCTCCGGCTTGTTGACGAAGATCTCTGAGATCTCCGGACATTGTTTTTTATTGAGTGTCAGAGGAGTTCCCGTCACCATCAGAGAGCTGTCATCCAGAGTGAGCTTCCCGTCGTTCTCAAGCTGCTTTCGAATTCGGCGTAACTCTTGCCGCATCCGAATAACCTCTGCGATGGTATTGTATTTCGAACGTGATGGCGTGGTGCGTTCTGAAATGGTAGGTATTTTAGATGCTTCTGAAACCGAATCCACTTGAGATTTCATTTCTTCTTGAACAGCAGGTTTAAGTACCTCGTCATGACGGGGGAAATCTTGCTTGGTTTCTGCAATCTTTTGATAATTCGGCAGCCACCATTCCTGGTAGGCCGTATTCACGACCGGCTCGATGTTTTGAATGATTTTCTTCCGGGTGTCGTAAATTTTAAAATCGGATTGCGTCCGGACATCGCTTGGTTGCTCGTTGGATGTCGTACACCCCTCGCTCTGCGTGTCTGCATTGTAGCCGAGCAACGCTTGAAGGAAAGACGTCCGGTCGATGGTGTCGGTATCCGAACCCTCCACAGCCTGATAATCCTCCGTGCAGTCTGGCACCGACATGGAGTGCATAGTGTTGATGTTGATCTTTGAGTGATCTCGGTAGATCTCCACGTTGGAAGAGGAGATTAGACTGTTGCGCGTCGTTCGTTTGCTTCTCGGCTGGTTCACTAAAGAACTGATGACATTGCTCATGCGTAACGCATCCGGGTCGTTCTTAGTGCCGTACTGTATCCGGACATTTCCGATGGTGCCGGCTTCTCGACGCGAGGAGGGTGTCGCCGAGCTTCTGGGGGGTAAATCTGACGTGGCGGCCGTTACGTGGCTCCCAGACTCCGCGGGTGTGTGCTGGGATGCCTCGGACGAGCCCGACTCTGACGCGGTTTCAGACTTTTCTGGATCATACTGGCATTCTACCGCCCCATACTCGGGGTCTTCGTTGATGGGCTGCAACGTGCGGAACACCTGACGTCCGAACAGATCCATGAAATTCAATCGATGTGGTACCTGGCTCATGTCTATCACATACGGCTCGTCGAGTTCGTCGATGAAGTCGTCGTCTGGGGGGTTGTTCTGCATATCGTTGCTGTCGCAGTTGTTATTGAAACTGATGTTCTGGTCGGCGAACATCTGAACAATGGACGACGCTCTCTGGTCGAGGTGGGGGTACCGGTAGTACCTCAGCGTCTCGGAGTGCTGGTCAAGCAGGAAACTGGAACTCGTCTCGGTTGGTCGGTTGCGGATTCTGGATTGGATCTCAGGCGTCACGTGAGAGAATTTTTTGGCCACGTTCTCTTTGAGGATCCGCACGGGCGTCCAGTTTTCTCCGATTTGAGAGATGGCGTCAAACGGGCTGGAGTACCGCAGCGGCAGAAGACGCTTGGGCAGGATGCTAGGCTGGGACAGCGACGGCGGGTGGTAGACGTGAGCACCGGGTGCGCTGGTAGAGACGCGCTGCTGCATGCGCATCGTGCGCTCGAGGGATTTCTTGCTCACGGATGCCCGGATTTTCAACGTCGCCGCCGATTTCGGTTCGTTGGAGTGTTTGTCGTCGATCAACGGCAACACGTTGCTGGAGTTACTGGTGGTGTTTTGGCTGTTGCTGGTGGATGGCTCGGAGCTTGAGGCTTGTTTTATTGCCTGCCCTGGTTGCTTAGAACTGCTCCCTTCTTTACTCAGACTCTTATCGTCTCCCCTGAACAGTGATCTCTCTAGCTCTTGCCGTTTGGTCAACGTTTTATCAAGCAGTTTAACTCCCTTATCAAGTCCCTTAACTCTAATCTGCTCCACCCGATCCTGCTCTAGTAGCTCGCTCAAAAAACTCGACGATTTGGGTTTGATCACAGGGGGGACAACTTTCGCCGAGTCTGGCCTGGGGAAGTGGTAGTCGGTGTGGCGTATCTTCTGCTTCTCCATGACCTGATTGGCTCTCAGCAGCATGGCGTTGACGGAGTAGCACCACGTGTCCTCCTCCGACCGCTCCACGACCTCCGCCGGAACCTTCTCGGAGCTGGTCTCCGGGGTGTTCGCCTCGTTGAACCTCACCAGCTTGGCCTTCTTCCCGAGGGTGGTGTTGACGGGCGAGATATCCTTCGGCCAAACCACCGCCTGCATGGACTTGTTGGAGGAGGCGTCGCAGGACTTTGATTTCTGAACGTTCACGCTGTCCCGCCTGACATTGGCCAAGTCTGTTGCCGTCTGGTCCCGGCTCGATTTGTTCATCTTCAAAGCGTAACCGGATCGTAAAAAATCTAAGTACGTTATCTTTCTCTCGGATTCGTACTGCACCGACGTCTTCTCGACCGCAGGCGACTTAGCAGACTTCATCTTAGATTGTTTTTTATCTTTATTTCTATTCCGAGCCGTATTTTTCAATTGTTTTTGCGCTTTGGTGTTAGATTTACTTTTCGGTGCAGTCGTTCCTTCATTGTACTGCTGATCGAAATCAGTTCCCATGAGCATTAAATTTGTATTCGACTCATGCGGGATTTCGTGGATGCCTTTCTTGTGAGCGTACAGTGTACTAAAACTCCACATACCGATTTTAGACTGCAGGGTCATGCTCGCGTCGTCTAGACCAAGAGATTTCAGCCTTTCAGGGTCTATAGCGGACGGCACGTTGTTCGACGCACGACGGATCCGAATCCCCGAACAGCTGTCGGATGGATCGTCGCAGTTGGTTAAATTGATCTGTGTCTTCTTACCGGAGTAATATTTGACCAGGGACTTGTGGTACTCCATGTAGTCCAGGGATTTCTCGCCCACGCTGGACACACTGCCCTCGCAGGAATCATCACAGTTCTCACACTCCTCCGCGTTGCAGAAGTCATCGATGGTTTTCAGGAACTTGACCTGCGAGGTCAGCTCCATTCTCTCCGGAGACCGCGGGTGCTTTTTCCCGTCCCTGCTCTTCTTTTTCCTCGCGCGGGTCAACCTCTCGTAGTACTTCCGTTTATACTCGAAATCTTGCATCGCGATATCGTGCTTGAGGTCGTCTTTTATACCGGACTCTACTTCACTCGTTTCATCAGATTCCGGGTTGTATCTCTCCCCATAGCCTACTGTGTGTTTGCTGTCTATACTGTACGAGTCGTCGGACATTGAACTAGCTTTGCTGCAGAAAATATCCGAGTTCATATCCGGAATTGAAGCTTCCGATACCGAGTTTTTCTTCTTGTTGTTGTTGATGCTCTTCCCCAGGAGTTTCGTTTTAAATAAAGTGTCCTTCTTCTTTCTTCTTTTATGAACGGTGTATTCCCCGAGTGACGAGGTTTGCGAGTTGTTGCTTTGTTGTCTGGGTTTCCAGTCTGGGGGAACCTCTCGCCCGATGGGGAAGTTCTTCTGAAGCATGGACGCCTTGTCAATCTTGGCGATGCTGGTCGAGGATTTGTTTTCCAGTTCGAGGCTGACTCGGGATACGTTTTTGGCCTGCAGGGCTTTGAAAAATTTCTGGGGCGGTCGTCGGACTTTTTTGTTGACCAGTTTTTTGTTTCTCAACTCCGTGAGGAAGGACATGTAGTACTGGTTGTTGAGCGGGGTGATGGGGTTTTGAACTGTCGTCTGCAGTTCATAGTTTGGTAACTCGGTAACTACATCTCCGGTGGGGATATTTGTTTCTTCTTGGATGGTGCATGCGGCGTCACTTGCAGAAGTTTCATCTGTGATCTTAGCCTCGGTGAGACATTCACCTTTCATCCCGGTGGTGACACACCCACCTTCCATTCCTGTGGTGACAGACACACCTTTCACCCCCGTGTTTTGTAGATTTACATCCTCGCCATCGCCTCGCTCCACTACCAGCTCGTTTAATGACAGATCCGGATCTTTTGTCACGACAAACTTTATTTTCGAGACACTCTTGCCATCGATTTGAAAGAGAGAATGCGACGATGTGGAGATGGCTGAGGTATCGTTTTCCACCATGGGTACGTGAATCTCCCGCTGAAAGTCGCTGATCTCCGCCTCATCCCGTGCCAGACTATCCACGGTGATGTTCTTATCACTGCTCACAACCCCGCATTTCGAATGATTCGCGTTCATCTCGTTCTCAACGTTTTCCGGATCCGGTTCTCCTTCGTTGGGCCCGGAATTTGAGAAAGAGACATCCGTGTTGATGCTAGACACTAGCGTCACGGTGGAGTTGTCGTAGTAGACGTCGTTGTGGTCCCTCCTGGGGTACTTGCAGCTCTCCGTGACGTCTTTATCAGCGTTGAGGGAGAGGATGGATATAACCGGCGTGTGACCGCGGTCTGAATCTTCCAGATCATCCATCTTGAGATTAGAAGTTTTCGAGTTACCCTCCGTCAACTGGGTACCGGAGTCTTGTGCTTTCTTAAGGTAGACTTGCTCCAAGACGTTGCCTAGAGGCTCGCAAAGATTTTCCTCCATAACAAGAAACGCGTTAACCACGGAGCTTGCGGGTGGTATAGGAACACAGGGGTTGGCTATAGAACAGGTGGGCGGTACCGTCTCCGAGCCTGGGCTGACGTGTCGCTGGTCAATGCTGACTTTGGAGACCTCCAGGTAGCTGTCGCTGGTGTCGCCCTTGTCCATGCACGAGCTGGCCGTGGTGGTGTCCGAGTCGTAGACGGCATCCTCTTTGACGCTGCCCGGCAGCTTCACAACGACCACTGGCTTTGACGACATCGTGGTGGATCTTCTCCTTTCGTGGAGAGCTGAGATAGGCTGTGAGACCGGGTCTTCTGTTGCCACACTGTTCTCGTTGATCTTCACATCATTCGACTCAGCTAAACCTTCACCCGTGTTTAGACCCCCGCGGGGCTCACAATTTTTGTCAGCATCAATCAACGTAGACGAGCTGTGTGGTAACGGCATGAGGATCAGTTCCTCAGAATTGGCGCTGGGTTTGTCAACAATCTCACGCCCGTCTGCCACGTTCTCACTCGTGCCTGGCACCGCCCCATCCCGTAAACCGCTCCCAGATTTAGGCAGGGTGTCCTCCACGCTGTCCTCGCTTTCTCGGTTTGTTGACGTCGAATCCGAGTTATCGTTATCAATATCTAAACCCGTGCTCTCCGATAACGCGCCATCCTCCGCTAGATCTAACTCATCATCATCATCATCGTCGTCGTCATCGGAAAAAAGTAAAAACTGCTCACTCCTGAGAATCTCCTCGTACAAACTCGAATACTTCAACCTATCCGGGCAGGGGTAGCTGTTCTCTAGACCAGGTTTTAGGATCTCGCACTCCGTGGTGCAGCTTTTTGAAACCCGGATCTTCCCGGGGTCGTAGTCTCCCTTGCCGGAATTATTCTGCCGCGAGCCGTTCGGTCTGCGGGAATGGAAGCGGTTCGGTCTCTGAAGCGACAGCTTCGAGTCCCGGTACATCTTCAACGTCTCATCACTCTGGCTGGTGACGATGACCTCGGCTTTAGGAATACTGTTGTCCCGGGGTTCCTGAGGCGCAGGGTTTTCCTCGACAGCGTCTTCCGCTTCGACTTTATTCCCGCTTTCCGAACCCGACCATCGGTTATCGTTTTGATCGCAGTCAGAAAACGCCATCTCGCTCTCCTCCGCGTCGTAGAAACTCTCGCTTCCGGTGTACTCGGAATCGCTGACGTGATTCCCATTCTGGTCCTTCTCCTCTCCGCTCTTCCAGGTCCCGGGGGGATCATCATACTCCGGGCCCGAGTGGTAATCCTCTGCCTCCACTTCCCCGGCCGTCTGCCGCCTCCACCCCGACGGGGAGTCGGTCCAGCTGTCCTCATCCAGACTCCCAGCCGAGCTGGTCTCTCCCACTTCCTGTGGCCAGTATCTGCTGCCCGCCGTGGGAGGGCCTGAACCAGGGTCATCCGGCCATGCGCAGTTTTTCCTGGCCGGGTCGCTAGGATCGGATCCGTCGTTACTCATCGTGTGCTGGAATTAGGGGCTAGGACATACTCTCTCCTGCAGGACAGATGACACATTCATTGTTAGCAGACGACTCATTCATTGTTAGAAGACGACATTCATTGTTAGCAGACGACATTCATTGTTAGCAGACGACATTCATTGTTAGCAGACGACATTCATTGTTAGCAGACGACATTCATTGTTCACAGACGACATTCATTGTTAACAGACGACATTCATTGTTAGCAGACGACATTCATTTTTAACAGACGACATTCATTGTTAGCAGACGACATTCATTGTTAGCAGACGACATTCATTGCTAGCAGACGACATTCATTGTGAGCAGACGACATTCATTGTTAGCACGACTCATTCATTGTGAGCAGACGACATTCATTGTTAGCACGACTCATTCATTGTTAACAGACGACATTCATTGTTAGCAGACGACATTCATTGTTAGCAGACAACTGATTCATTGTTAGCAGACGACTCATTCATTGTTAGCAGACGACTCATTCATTGTTAGCAGACGACTCATTCATTGTTAACAGACAACTCATTCATTGTTAGCAGACGACTCATTCATTGTTAGCAGACGACTCATTCATTGTTAGCAGACGACATTCATTGTTAGCAGACGACATTCATTGTTAGCAGACAACTCATTCATTGTTAACAGACAACTCATTCATTGTTAACAGACGACATTAATTTTTAAACGACGACTTTAAATTGTAAAATTAAATTTTTAGACAGACGACTTATTAATTTTTATCACACGACTCATTCACTTGAGCAGGCGACTCTGACTCTTAAATTTTTAACAGAAGACACAGTTAAAACTCTCTTTGCTGAAATTTTTTCTATTCAAAGTGGTAGTTGAGGTGACAAGCAAAAATCACCAGTGTATGCACCACATCCTTTCTACAAATTCTTATCACTCCTTCCCATTCTTCACCTCGCCTCCGCTACATTCATCACCCCTCAACCACACACGTTACCCTCATAATTAGTCACCATCCCTCTTCCATATTGGTCATCACCCCTCCTACATATTAGTCACCACCCCTCCTACATATTAGTCACCCCTCCTACATATTAGTCACCACCCCTCCTACATATTAGTCACCACCCCTACTACATATTAGTCACCCCTCTTCCATATTAGTCACCACCCCTCCTACATATTAGTCACCACCCCTCCTACATATTAGTCACCACCCCTTCTACATATTAGTCACCAACCCTTCTACATATTAGTCACCACCCCTCATACATATTAGTCACCACCCCTCCTACATATTAGTCACCGCCCCTCCTACATATTAGTCACCCCTCTTCCATATTAGTCACCGCCCCTTCTACATATTAGTCACCACCCCTCCTATATATTAGTCACCACCCCTCCTACATATTAGTCATCCCTCTTTCATATATACCCTTCTTTCATATTAGTCACCATCCCTTATCCATTTTCGCCAACATCCTTCTTCCATATTAGTGTGTGGTTTCGATTTTATAAAGAAAGAATTACAAAAAAAAAATAGAAAACACATATAAGAACATTTATAATAATACGCTTTTAAAATGCACTGAAAACTTTAAAAAAAATAGTCTGATTTTCTTTGATTAGTGATGGTATTGGCCGACAAAGTGTTTTATTTTCCTATTTTCAGTGCATTAAAATGCATATTATTCAAAGGGTTTTTATTTTTTTTAATATCCTGAACTAAATATTTGAAATCATTAGATCAAACAGGTACATAGGACTAGAGTTAGACCAAGTCTATTGCCATTACATGTAGAATCTAGATCTATAGGGCTTAGAGTTTGTCATAGTCCACAGACGCACTAAGTCTAAGTAAACACAATATACTTTCTCTAGTGACCCGCTGCTTTCTAGTTTTAGGTAAAACCTCAGTTCTAGTTTTATTCTAAACAGGGTGAATGCCGAATACGTTTCTTCGTTAGCCAGGATAGACAATGTGTAAAGAACTTATCAGATACTGGACGATTACACAACTGACCTTGTGTGAATCCACGGCCTTACATCGCTGTTTACTCATGTTGTGTAATGATAGTTTTTCATCAACTGCGCGTTCAAGCTGAAAGTCTATTCGTCAATGTCGTGCGCCCTGGCGCAATGGCTACGCTGCGCACTGACTTTGGTGCGCAATAAATTGCAATACACACAACATTGTTGTGTATCGTAGTAGTCAAACTATTACGATGAGTGGTACTAAGGAGTATAGATAAAGAAACAGACATTTAAACGGTTGTGTTCACCAACACTAAAATAAGAAAGAAACTTCTAGATAATCTTAATCCAATTTATGTTTTGAAAAATTAAACTTTAGCTGATTGTATTTACATGTGAATATTGTTGAAAAGATGGTAGTGGCCTAGAGGAAACGCACTAGTCTCGAGTTCCAATCCGGATTCAAGTCAGTAAAACGTCCCTAAGTATACCCAGCTCTGATGGGTACCTAACTCACGTTAGGGGTTGTAAAGGCGGCTGGGCATAGTGCTGACCACACAATCCCTTCATATGACAAGGGCACATAAACAAGTGAACTCTACCTCATTTGCCCCAACAAACGACAGGTTTTGAAAATGGGAATGTTGATAAGAAAATTATCATTATTAAAAATTGGTGACATTTTCATCACACAGTTTTAATTCATTGTGCTGTTTGCAAACCAAATGTGAAATTTTGAAACGCTTTGATGAAGACACCTATAAACATACAGCACATTTGTGCTAATCCACACCGTATCCAACGTAACCGGACATTTACATAACGACTTCTCATAATGTACCCCTTAGCTAGAAATAAATGGTAAACGCATACATCAGAAGTCTCGAGTTCGGATCCCAGCTCTGATGGGTATTTTACATTAGAGAAATTGAAGGGTACAGGGCAGAAGTGCCCATCAGACTATCCATTCATGTGTTAATGTCATAGAAACAGGTGGACTCTACTTCGTGTACCCCATGCACCGCCATAGACCGTAAGATTTGTTTGACACTTGAAGTCAAATTTCTCAGACTCGGGGAGAGACACCCACTGACTTACTCTAACTGGAAGTTAATTACAACACCCTCACCCCCCAAACCCCCCCCCCTTACACACACATTCAATTCTGATCACATTATCTAAAAAAATTACTACCAAACCACCTACCTCCACTCGCCCATACAAATTCCTATAACCGGAAGCTAATTACAACACCATCAGCCTCCCTCCCACCACCCCCCTTAATCACACCTTCGATTCTGATCACTCGATTTAAAAAATGTACTATCAAACCACCCACCCCCCCCCCCCCCCATTCCACTCCCTCATACCAATCCCTCTAACCGGAAGTTAATTACAACATCATCACCCCCCTCCCACCACCCCCCTCCCCCCTTATAAACACCTTTGAATCTGATCACTCGATCCAAAAAAATGTTCTATCAAACCACCACCTCCCCCTTTCCACTCCCTCATACAAGTTCCTCTAACCGGAAGTAAACTACAACACCCTCACCCCCCCTCCTCACCCCCTTCACCTTCAATTCTGATCACTCGATCCAAAAAAAATCAAACCACCACCCCCCACTCCCCCATACCAATTCCTCTAACCGGAAGTGGTCACTCCTTCATCCCCCCCCCCCCCCAGGCTGACGGCCTTTGCCATGAAGACCCTGTGCCAGGCTGAGCACTACGTCACGGTTGACCACACGCAGACGTGCGAGTCGTTCAACTGGATCGCCAGACAGCAGCACGACAACGGCACCTTCCGTGAGGAGGTCTGGGTCACCCACCGCGAGATGCTGGTGAGTACTTCCTGTGATGGTGGGGGGGGGGTTATATATGTATAATACTTCATCTATATATTCTGATCAACTACTATTCATACGATATCTACCCCACCCCCACCCCGTTCAATGGCTATTTAGGGAGTTTTTCTCTAGCTTTCGATCATGGCTCAATCTCAGTCTAACCCCCCCCCCTCCCCCACCCCGTTCAATAGCTATTTAGGGAGTTTTTCTCTAGCTTTCAATCATGGCTCAACCCCAGTCTAGCACCCCTCACTAGCAATCTAGTGAATTCTTCTCGTTGCTTCATCCGAATCTAGCCCCACCCCGCACATTAACAATCTCGACAGTTCTCAATTGGTCGATTATGACTCAGCTCCAATCTAGCCACACCCTCCCTTTAACTATCCGCCCATTCGATTCTACCACCGCTACCTCATTCATATCCCCACCCCTCAATTTCTGCTGCTCTATTCGCCCCCCCCCCCCCCGTCAGTCCTGCCAATAACTATTATACATTTGACCCACTCTACACCCCATTCCTTTAATCTTTTCCGCATTCTTACCTTCACCCCTCCTCATACCCCTCCACACTTTTTCCCTTTCAAATTCTCTGGTTCCCTACTAGAAACCTAAACTATCCTATGTCGACTGTTCTCCCGAACCTAAAAAAAAATCCGCCCCTATCCCTAATCTTTCAGTCATCTGATGTATGGCCATTTACATCCATCCCATGTTGGCTTCCATCCAAATTATTTTTGTTGTAAACCTCGTCTTCTCTCCCCTTATTTTCGTGTCATTAGTACAGTCCCTTTTCGAACCAAACGTGTCCTGCGTAGTTTACATTTATTTGTCGAAATGTTATGATTATGTTGTGAACTATGAACTTGAACTTTGACCCGTCCTTCTCTCCCAGGGTGGAATCAACGGTGACGTGTCCCATGCTGCTTTTATCCTGATAGCTCTACTGGAGTGTGACTGCCCTAAGGAGGTGAGTACATACAGACCGACCTCATCATCAGAGTTTCTTCTAGGCTCCCCTCCCCCTCCCCCCCCCCCCGAAGAAAGATGGAATTTATATAGTAAACATACACTTTTACTAGTGTCCGCCCCCCCCCCCGAAAAATGTTGACCGCCCCCCGTCCCCGAAAATCTCAAGTGCCCCCCCCCCCCCGGAGAAGAAAGTCTGGAAGATAGTGGCGTAGGCATAGACCCCATGGTATATATATAAAAAATATGAGGGGGTGCAAATCGAAAGTTTGAGGGGGGGGGGGGTGCAAATCAAAAGTTTGAGAGGGGGGGAGGCAAATCGAAAGTTCGTCCCCGGGTAAAAATTGGAACCCCCCCCCCCCTTGAGACGATCCTGGCTACGCCACTGCTGGAAGAAACACTGCTCATCATTCCTTAGAGCCCCGAGTTATCTCGCGGACCTCCGAGAAGATGAGACAAGCTTGCTTGAGACAGTAAATTAAATATCATAGCTAAATTATGGAGTCTAACAGGACTGTTGCCTTGTGTATGTTTTCGGGTGAATAAATAAAATGATAGCACATACAGAAAGATAAGAAGGCTGAAATCGAGACAACGGGACATATGTCGCATACAATGTTGGCACATAATACTTAATTATGTCGTTGGAAAATGTCTCTAATTTTACAATTAAGTAACGAATAAATTCTACTTGTTGTAGATGAACAGTATTGTACGGGAGCATTGAAGCGAACTAGAGAGCTTTCTCCAACCGTCCTCCAAAGTTACCCCACACGTCCCCCACACTTCCACCTTCATATATCTGAGAGTGTAGAGTATATGTGGGTGGGTCAGGATCATATAACATTTCCTTTTCTTGCACAAGATACGTGGGACAGATGAAGTAGAGTTTAGCATTATGCACCGCCGCCTTACTTCCTTACACGTGAGTCAGGTGCCCATCCAAGCTGGGTGGACTAATGGACCTCCTACATACTCTTGATACGAACCCGAGACTTTCAGGTTTGCAGTCATGAACTCTACCCTACGACCACGCCATCCCGTTGCTCATGACATCAAACTTCACCTAAATAACTCCCACTGTACTCATATTATCACACCTCCCCCCACCCCTCCTCCTCCCCAGAACCACAGTGACGTCATCACACGGACCCAGAAGTACATTGAGTCAGCCTCTACCCAGACCGACCGACCCCTGGCCATCGCCATCAGTGCATATGCCCTGACCCTGGCGGGGTCGCCCGTGGGGGATCAGCTGATGAAGCGACTCCTGTCCGTAGCCAAGTCTTCGCCCGAGGGTAAGGGTCTACGTCATAGTGTTGACACTGGTAGTGTTGACACTGGTAGTGTTGACACAGGTAGTGTTGACACTGGTAGTGTTGACACTAGTAGTGTTGACACTGGTAGAGTTGACACTGGTAGTGTTGACACGGGTAGTGTTGATACGGGTAGTGTTGATGCCGCAGTGTTGTAAAGTCGTGTTAATAAGAAGTGTTGATAAGTATGTGTTGTTAAGTCTGTGTATATAATAAGTCAGTGTTGATCAGTCAGTGTTGAAAAATCATTGTTGATAAGTCAGTGTTGATAAGTCAGTGTTGATTCTGTGTTGTAAAATCTGTGTTGTAAATTCAGTGTTGAAAAGTCATTGTTGATAAGTCAATGTTGATAAGTCAGTGTTGATTCTGTGTTGTAAAGTCTGTGTTTGTAAAGTCTGTGTTGTAAAGTCTGTGGTGTAAAATTTGTATTGTAAAGTCTGTGTTGATAAGTAACTTATGATAAATAAATTTTGATCAATCTGTGTTGATAGTTGGTGTTCATACCTTCAGTGTTGATAAATCAGTTTATACCTTCAGTGTTGATATGGTCATTGATGGTATTAATTACTTGTGTAAATAAACGCTATAGAATTAAATTTACAAACATCCAAAGCCTAAAACCCGTACTCTACCTCACACTCTATATCCGCCCCACCCCCACCTATATTCACCTTGAGCGTCTGTCTTCCAGGTTTCACCAACTGCCCCCCACCCCCACCTATCTGCCCTACCCCACCTACATTCACTCAGAGCACCTGTCTCCCAGGTTTCACCTACTGGTCCCCCCTAAACTGCCCCACCCCACCTACACTCACCCAGAGTGTCTGTCTTCCAGGTTTCACCAACAGGTCCTCTACCCTTCCCCACACCCCCCAACTGCCCCACCCAACCTACACTCCCCTAAGCTCCTGTCCCCCAGGTTTCACCTACTGTTCCCCCCCCCCACCCCACCTACACTCCCCTAAGCTCCTGTCCCCCAGGTTTCACCTACTGGTCCCCCATACCCCTCCCCAACACCTACACTCACCCTAAGCTCCTGTCCCCCAGGTTTCACGTACTGGTCCCCTGGCACTGAGGCCGACTTCGCCAACCATGACGTCCCCTACTGGTACGCTAAAAAACCCGGCGCCCTGGCCGTGGAGGTGACGTCATACGCCCTGCTGACGTTCTTGGCGCGTGGTGACATCACGACCAGCACGAGCGTGGTGGGCTGGTTGCTCATGCAGAGGAACTCACAGGGGGCGTTCGTGTCTACTCAGGTAAGGGGAGGGGAGGAGGGGAGGAGAGGATGAGAGGGGAGGGAGAGGGGGAGGAGAGGGGGAGGATGGGATAGGGGAGGAGGGGAGGGAGGATGGGAGGGGAGAAGAAGAGGAGATGATGGGGGGAGGTGAGGGTTGGAAAGAGAGGAGGTAGCGAGTGGAGGGTGGGAGAGAAAGAGAGGACGGAAGGGAAATGTGGAATGGGAGTGGGTGGTATATAAGGAGGAATGATGGGGTGGGAAAGGAAATAATGTTGAATTTAGAGGAGTGGGGGTTGGAAGAGGATGGGTAAAGGATGGAGAGGTGAAGATGGCGAGATAAATGGATGGGTAAGAGGGTGTGAAAGGATGGGGGAAGACTGGAAAGGAAATGGAGGGCGAAACTCGACAAACAAAAGTATTATTTATATGATACGCTGTGTAGTGCAGACATTGAAAACCATTTAAATAATTTGATTTACTTCTTTGTTTTAATAAGTCTAACGTATCACAATAGGTCTTTTTCATAATAATATAATATTCTTTTAGTTCAAGCTAAATTGCTTAAAATAAAAAAAATTAATTATATTAAAGATTTCAATTTTTAAAGTGTACTTTGAGAATCAAATGTCTTTATTCTTCATTTCTTTATGATTAACTGATGAAAATGTAAAAAAAAAAGTAGCTTTATGAAATTCAAAATTTTGAAAGTGGAAGAGATACGTTACACGCCTTCCAATGTATTCAAAGGGGTGGACCTCCCCCAAAACCTATCCATGCTTACGCCACCGCACACACTACCTGCCGGTGACTACACCAGACTTATGTTTTAACCCCCTCCCCTTACTCTCCCCCCCCCCCCAGGATACAGTGGTAGCACTGCAAGCCTTGTCGGAATACAGCATGAAATCATACTCCGCCATCTTGGACATGACGTGTCACATCCGATCAGAGGTCGACGATCGCTTCAGGAAATCGATTTCTTTGACGCCCAGCGACGCGATGGTGGTCAAATCAGTTCCCAAGGTAAGATGACGTCATCTGGTCGCTTGAATGTTTGCCATTTATATATATATATATATATATATATATATATATATATATATATATATATTTATACGTATATATATATTTATTTATTTATATATACGTATATATTTATGTATATGTATAGGCATACACATACGTATATGTATATACACATATACATATACTTACATATATCTATATATATAAAGCAAAGTGGTCAGGTGCCCGAAAGGGCATCTCCCGGCGCCGCAGGCGCGTCAAATTCGGCTAGATGGTGCCTTGGGGCGATATAACACGAGGGCCGGTGACGGTTGGCCGAAAAGTCCACGGAGAGGGGGTCAAAACTGACATCTACTGACCGGCGCAAAAAAAACTTGTATTTCCCTATATAATCTTTGTATTTTATGGGAAAAACAGAGGGTCATTTCAACGCGGATTTTAGGGTACTTAAACTCAGTATATCTGGCTAATTTTTTGCATGCTCCTAGGTAAATGGCTTGGCCTTTGGGAAAAACTGTCGGTTTGACTCAAAGCCCTCGACGAGGGCTAAAACATGACCGCGAGTGAAAATCTGCTTATTTGAGCTATATAACGAAAAAATTTCTTGCCGAACGACCCCCGTTGATATTTTGTGAGGTGGTAGGAGAACACCTAGGGGTGTCAGAAAAAACTCGCCATTTCCGGGAAAAATCTGGAAATTGGTCAAAACTGATGAGTCGTATTTCCCTACATAATCTTTGTATTCAAATAATTATTTTTCAAACAATTGTATACTATTTTAAACATAAACAGAAAATGACGAATTATGGCGTTTGTTTCATTTAAAAAATAAGTTATTAATTAAGGTACGTATCCTAATTAAATAAGTTAATTAATTTTAAAAGTCAATGTACTATAAATTATGAGATATACTGTTCATGGAACCTCTGTTGTTCTAATTCCATTTTAGTCATACATTTCGAACTTTCCAATATTTTCTCTGAAAATGGACTGTAAACAACAAAGAACAACAACAACATGTTCTCTAAAATTAGCATTACTGTTTAAAATTTAAGCACTCCACACTTCAGCCGTCACTAAAAAATTAAGTATTCAAATTCTCAAATGTTTTTGAAAACCTAAGCGTAGCTAGGCAGTATACCTAGTTATTATATACGATGTTTTTCTTAAACTGTTTTTATAAAAAAAAATTCCAAACAATGAATTCACTTTTAATAAAGAAACAAAACCCAAATAGAGAAACACGCACAGTTTTTGAGATTCAAACGTAAAACTTCGACGGGAATTTTCAAAACATGGCGTCATGAATAGGAAGTAATCACATATTCTCTAAGAGGTACGATTTTTTTATTCAACACGACCTTTGACCGGACTAGCCGTTTGCCTTAGTAAAATAAGGCCCTTTTGGGCGAAATGACGACTACGAGAAGATACGACATTGTTTTCCTGTAATGGTGCTGTCCATAACGAAGTACGACTCTATAGAGGGGGCAGGCTAAGGTGTAACAGCATTTTAGGAAATGGGCGGGGGGGGGGGGTGTGCAAATTGACGCGTTAGGGAAGAAAACTTTAATTTTGTCGGATGACTTTGACTTCTAAAAGAACAAGACTTCAATTATAATAAGATTTGACTGTATTTTTAGTGTATGTGGGGGATGTATTTTTTTTTATGTTTTTAGACTAACCATCGAAAACATTTACTGAAGATTTAAGAACATTTGAAGATGTGAGTAGTGGTAGTCATTTTAAAAGTGTGATGTCGTTTATGGATAGACCCTGACAGTGTCGCGGGAAGCTGGGGATGACTGCGGGGCTAAGCTGCATTTTAGTCGCTGATTTGTTGCCCCTTGCAGTCTGGTGGTACCAACCCTCTGTGTGGTTCAATCGAAAAGCTTCTAAGGTGTATCCCATCGACTTGCAGATAACCTTCTCCCAGTGTTCTGCGACAGAACAGTGGACGCTGAACTCTAAAAATCATTTTTTTTTTGGACTTAAGCCCATGTGTTAAAATTACTTTGGTTTATAGTTTTTAAACTGAAATTAAGATGTTACTTTTAATCGATTGATTATTTAAGTATCGCTTTTTCGGCCCCAGTCTTAAGGATATATTGTGCAGATGAAAAAAAATTATTAGTATGTTTCATGATTTTTAATAAATCCATCTGTTAATATTGCCCAAACTGTGGACACAATGCGTAAAACTTCACCACTAGCAGTTACAGTTGCTTTGGAAACGTCAAAAAGTTGTAGAACTTCACACCTTTTTAAACCTTTATAACTTAGTTCTCATAAAAGATAACTGTAATCTAATTATAGATGTATGCTTATTATTTTAATCTATAATTTCTACGGTTTTTAATTTCTCTTATATACGAAGTATAGAGAAAGTTGTAATCGTGCAAAAAAAAAAATTCGACATTTTTGCAAATCTCGACGTTTTACAGCTCCCTGAGTCGGAAAAACATAGTTTCGCAATCTTTTCCGTATGTATGTATGTGTGTGTGTGTATGTGTGTAAATACGATAAACATATGAATTTATAAAGTACTAATAATATTCCGCACTTTTATGCACATTTTATTTGGCGTTCACTTGGTGTGCGATTCTTTTTCTTTTTTCTTCGAGATTTTATTCTATTTTAACAAGTTTAAGTATTTAAAATGGATTAAAAATCATGTCTATTTCCCGAGTTGCCACCCCCTGTTGTTTCATATAAGATTCATCGAGAAAGTTTAGAGATAAATCCCGGTTTATTAACTTTTTGTATGATAACTAGGATGTATTTTTTACAAGCTTTTATTTAACTCACTTCCTCGTCAGTCGTCAGTCTGTCTGTCTTGATCGAAACGACGGAGCGAAAATTCGGACACTTCTACTTGACAGATACGGTTCGCAGTTGGCACGTGGGTCAAGACATGAAGACAATGCAATCTAAAATTAAATTTAACTTAATTTGATGCCTAATTAATTTTCATGAATTAATTAATATTTGGACCGAATTAGTAGGCATGTCTATCCAACAACACCACACGCGTCATCACGTTCAATAGCTGCGCCATTACGTTCAATAGGCGCGCAATGGTTTTTAGTCATGTAACTCTATCCTAATATATAAAAGACCAAATGCGCACTTCTCTCTCTCTGTCCGCAAAATATTTTCACCGGATATATCATCAGAATCTTCAGCGATATATGGAGAATTTGATACGCATTTTTTGTTGAAAATAATATGGTAGATGTTTTAAATGTATAACCACAATTTTATGTAAATAAAAAAAATAAATAAAGGCATATTCGAATGTAGAAAAACATTTTTAATTATGCAACAGGAAAAGTGTTTATAGTTGTGAAAAAGAACGCATAAAACAATGACGCCACTCGCCAAATGTTTACACAACACTCATGGCGTCATCTTCCGATTTTAGAATATAAAGAAATGAACTATTTCATTCAAAATTGATTTAGATCTACGCACGTTTTGAAATGTATATAATACAATTTTCTCGGCCTAAACTTATAAAATGTACTTTATCTATTTGGATTCTAGATCTAGATATTCTAGATCTAGACTAGATCTACGGAAAAACTAGACGTAGACGCTATGATGTAGATTTAGACTATAATCTACTCTAGAATCTATTCCCATAATAAACAACATAACTGCCTTTGAACAGCCGGGTTTTTAACGAAATGTTTTAAGTCTCTTAATTTTAAGTCTCTTAATCAGCGAGTGCATTTAATATAGTATGGTTACCGATGAAGAAATGAACTATTTCATTTAAATCTATAGATCTATACACAAAAACCTAATAAAAATAAATCACTTTAAAAACACAAAGAATACAAGAATAGCTGAGTTTTTAACGGAATCATTTAAGTCACTTAATCAGTGTGTGCCTGTGTTATGTTAAATGTATCGGTTTTTTAGCTGATTAGCTATTTCTTTGCTTTGTCACTAATATAGTTCAGCGTGTAGTAAAGCTCTTTGTGTTTTGACCAATAAATATTTTATAAAAATTGTTCTCAAACAAGTACAACATTTTAAAATATATAGGCCTATAATTCACGTGAAACGGGTACCGATGGCTAGTTGTAAATAAAACATGTAAAGTACTGAAAAAAATTCATAAAAATTCATAAAAAACGTTTTAATAACAAGCTTTATGTAATAATGCGTGGGTCTCTTCTCAAATATTAGTAAAGTGACCCACGCTTTTCTTTATAGTAATTTAAATAGTAGTGTATAATTTATTTTCTACTTCTTAGTGCATTATTACATAAAAGCATACAAATATATACATGTAAATACATATATATATATATATATATATATATATATATATATATATATATATGGGTCTACGACAAATTCCCGAAAGACACTTGCCCGAATGCCGTTTGCCCGAAGGCCGAATTCCCGAATGGACACTTGCCCGAATGCGACGAATGCCCGAATGGACACTTGCCCGAATGGGACAAATGCCCGAATGGACACTTGCCCGAATGGGACAAATGCCCGAATGGACACTTGCCCGAATGCGACAAATGCCCGAATGGACACTTGCCCGAATGGGACAAATGCCCGAATGGACACTTGCCCGAATGCGACAAATGCCCGAATGCCACTTGCCCGAAGGCCGTTTGCCCGAAAAATGTTATCAATAAAATATTACCAAATAGTCATGCGTGATCAATTTAAGTTTGAAATTTTGATAAACAATACATATATTAACAAAACTAAAGGGAAAATATTTAATATGATATATTAACACGAAGATATTATTAATTAATTTGTATTTAAATAGAGATCAAACATAAAAGACTAACATTAGTTTTTTAATTCGCCGCCTAGGCCCCTCCCCATTCTTTTGTTGACTGATCACCTCACAAGTTAACAAGATACATCAAACAAATGCGCCTCTGTTCATTGTTGCGAGACGCCGCGCCGCCTACATCATGTGATAAACGCTATAAACCACCGCAACACGTCGGCTACACAAGGTGGTCAAAACTTACACATCAAAAGAATGTTAAGATACCGGCGCCAACATCACCTTACATTTATTGAAGAATAAAGAAATTTTATTACGGCAAGTTCTCATGTTAAAAAAAAATAAAAGCTCAATTTTAAAAATATAAACAAATTTGTTTTTATGCTTAAAACTGTGTTGATTATCAAAATTTCAAACTTGAATTGATTATGAATGTCTATTTGGTTATATAATTTTTTATTCAATTTTTACATTTTTCGGGCAAACGGCCTTCGGGCAAGTGGCATTCGGGCATTTGTCGCATTCGGGCAAGTGTCCATTCGGGCATTTGTCGCATTCGGGCAAGTGTCCATTCGGGCATTTGTCGCATTCGGGCAAGTGTCCATTCGGGCATTTGTCCCATTCGGGCAAGTGTCCATTCGGGCATTTGTCGCATTCGGGCAAGTGTCCATTCGGGAATTCGGCCTTCGGGCAAACGGCATTCGGGCAAGTGTCTTTCGGGAAAACGTCCGGCTCCCATATATATATATATATATATATATATATATATATATATATATATATATATATATATATATATATATATATATATATATACATATATATATATATATATTTATATATATATATACATATATACATATTTACATATATATATATATATATATATATATATATATATATATATATATAATATATATATATATATATATATATATATATATATATATATATATATATATATATATATATATATATATATATATATATATATATATATAAAATATATATATATATATATATATATATATATATATATATATATATATATATATATATATATATATATATATATATATATATATATATATATATGAAAAAGGTGTGTGCGTGTGTAAAAGTAATGCTAGTGTTACTAGAAATACCTATTTACGTTGTGCATTGTGCAGGTCCCCACGGGCGGGAAACTTCACTTTGAAGCTGAGGGGACGGGGGTCGGCATGATGCAGGTCGAGGTCAGGTTCAACGTCCCAGAGGACCAGAGCAACTGTAGGTTCGAGGTCAAGGTCACCACGCACCACCACAACACGCTGTTGCAGAGTTTCTTCGGGGAGAGCAGGAGGTGAGCTGGTGGTTTGTACGTAAGGGTGGGGGTAGGGAGGGGGCACGGTGCGGGTAGGGAGGGGTAGGGAGGGGGCACGGTGGGGTAGTGTGAGGGAGTGATGGGGGTAGGGAGAGGGGGTAGGGTGTAAGTAAGGTTGGGTAATGTGGGGGCAAGGCGAAATTAGTGCGAGGGAGTGTGGGTGTACAGGATGGGCATTGTGGGGTATATTGGGGAGGTAGTTATAAGGCGGAGGTAGAATAGGAGAACAGTGGGGTAAGTAAAGGGGGTGCGATATAGTTAGGGTAGGGGTGAGCTAGGAATGTGTTAAGTAAGGTACGGTGTGGTGGGATGGGAGTGTGGTAAGGATAGGGTGGGAGAAGATAGGAATGGGGTGAGTGTAAGGTGGGGGTAGGGACGAGAATCTGGTTGTAGCAATAATTACATTTTACACACCAACAATAACCATTGTGCAATAAACACCTGCAAAAACCTTCTCTACCCGACATGAACACAATGACCTTATCTACCTTTAAGGCAATCAATGACCTTTTCCTCATTAAAGACCAATAAATACCTTTGCCCCACTAAACACCAACAATGACCTTCGCGCCACTAAACGCCAACAATGACCTTTACTCCACAAAACACCTACAATGACCTCCACATAACACCAACAATGACCTCCCCAAAACACCAACAATGACCTTTACCAAACTAAACACAAATGACATTTTCCTCATTAAAGACCTATAAATACCTTTGCCCTACTGAACACAATGACCTTCGCCCCCACTAAACACCAACAATTACCTTCACTAAACACCAACGATGACCTTTACCCCACTAAATGACCTACCACAGACCTAGATGTGAGCCCTGCTCCATGGACTGTGAAGACGAATCCAACGATGACGAGGACGAGGAAGAGGACTTCGAGAACTTTACCTTCCCACCCATCATGCCCCGTATCGCCACCCTCTGGGGCAGGAAGGCGAGAGGCGAAGACCTTGACCTAGATAAGGAACTGCAGGAGAATCACGCCAGGTCAGTCATTTCGAGACGATTTAGACACAAATAGAGTAGACAAAAGGAGAATTTAACATATCTTTTGTATAACCTCGAAGTAGATAATATGATTGAGAAAAATATGCAATTCTTCATACAAATACGGTATATCTTGTTAATGAGAAAAAAACAGAGAGAGAGAAAAAAAGAGAGAGAGACAGAGAGAGAGAGAAAAGAGAGAGAGAGAATGAGAGAGCATGACCTTTTTTAAATTAAGTTGCACAGATTTTATAATGTGTAGGCAGTTTGTTTTTGTTTTTCTTCTGCAGGGAAAAGATTCCAGAAATAGAATTTGGTTCTAGAATTGGAAGACCGAGGAGATCCACGAGACCTTACAGTGCTACCGTCATTTGTGTGGAGACCTGTTTTAGGTTTGTGTAGCCTTTCTTTCTGTTCAGACCTGTTTTAGGTTTGTGTAGCTTTTCTTTCTGTTTTAGGTTTGTGTAGCTTTTCTTTCTGTTTAGACCTGTTTTAGGTTTGTGTAGCTTTTCTTTCTGTTCAGACCTGTTTTAGGTTTGTGTAGCTTTTCTTTCTGTTTAGACCTGTTTTAGGTTTGTGTAGCATTTCATTCTGTTCAGACCTGTTTTAGGTTTGTGTAGCCTTTCATTCTGTTCAGACCTGTTTTAGGTTTGTGTAGCTTTTCTTTCTGTTTTAGGTTTGTGTAGCTTTTCTTTCTGTTTAGACCTGTTTTAGGTTTGTGTAGCTTTTCTTTCTGTTTTAGGTTTGTGTAGCTTTTCTTTCTGTTTTAGGTTTGTGTAGCTTTTCTTTCTGTTTTAGGTTTGTGTAGCTTTTCTTTCTGTTTTAGGTTTGTGTAGCTTTTCTTTCTGTTTTAGGTTTGTGTAGCTTTTCTTTCTGTTTTAGGTTTGTGTAGCTTTTCTTTCTGTTTAGACCTGTTTTAGGTTTGTGTAGCTTTTCTTTCTGTTTAGACCTGTTTTAGGTTTGTGTAGCCTTTCATTCTGTTCAGACCTGTTTTAGGTTTGTGTAGCTTTTCTTTCTGTTCAGACCTGTTTTAGGTTTGTGTAGCTTTTCTTTCTGTTCAGACCTGTTTTAGGTTTGTGTAGCCTTTCTGTTCAGACCTGTTTTAGGTTTGTGTAGACTTTCTTTCTGTTCAGACCTGTTTTAGGTTTGTGTAGCTTTTCATTCTGTTCAGACCTGTTTTAGGTTTGTGTATCCTTTCTTTCTGTTTAGACCTGTTTTAGGTTTGTGTATCCTTTCTTTCTGTTTAGACCTGTTTTAGGTTTGTGTATCCTTTCTTTCTGTTCAGACCTGTTTTAGGTTTGTGTATCCTTTCTTTCTGTTTAGACCTGTTTTAGGTTTGTATAGCCTTTCTGTTCAGACCTGTTTTAGGTTTGTGTAGCTTTTCTTTCTGTTCAGACCTGTTTTAGGTTTGTGTAGCTTTTCATTCTGTTTAGACCTGTTTTAGGTTTGTATAGCCTTTCTGTTCAGACCTGTTTTAGGTTTGTGTAGCTTTTCTTTCTGTTCAGACCTGTTTTAGGTTTGTGTAGCTTTTCTTTCTATTCAGACCTGTTTTAGGTTTGTGTAGCTTTTCTTTCTGTTCAGACCTGTTTTAGGTTTGTGTAGCTTTTCTTTCTGTTCAGACCTGTTTTAGGTTTGTGTAGCTTTTCTTTCTGTTCAGACCTGTTTTAGGTTTGTGTAGCCTTTCTTTCTGTTCAGACCTGTTTTAGGTTTGTGTAGCTTTTCTTTCTGTTCAGACCTGTTTTAGGTTTGTTTAGCCTTTCTTTCTGTTCAGACCTGTTCAAGTTAGTATATCCATTGAATTTCTTTTGAGTTAGGGTTTTATATCGTTTGTTTAGTTCAGACCTGCTTAAGGATTGAGCACTAGTTTAATACCAATAGTTTACGGACAGTTTAGAAATTAAAAACTCTGGAACTATGGTGCGAATATTTAGTATGTAATGGCATCGCCTGCACACTAAGTTTATACATTATGCATATGTAATGCTGATACTGGCAGAGGTTACAACTGCTAGTCCAAAAGTCTCGAGTTCGGGTCTCGGGCTCGCATCAATAGGACGTCCCTGAGTCCACCCAGTTCTGATGGATACCTGATTCCCGTTAGGGAAACTACATTGGGTGTGTATAGTGCTGACCACAATATCCCTCTGTAATATGAGGTCATTGTAACAAATAAATTCTATTTCATGCGCCTCATGCGTCTGGGCACGAACGGGAAAAGATGATAAATACTATTAGCTGCACCAATTACTGACTTTACCTGTGATGTTTTACCTGTTGACAGGTATCTGGGTACACAGACAACAGGTATGGCGGTTGTTGATGTGGGTCTGTTTACAGGGTATGTGCCTGTCATTGATGACCTGGAAACAGTAAGTTCACATTTTTTGTTCAAGTTACTTTTGTAGGTGTTTGTCGGTGTCATCAGAGATGTATGGGTTTATAATGGCATGGCCTAGCTATAGGGAGCTAGACTGTTAACCCGAAAGTTTCGAGTTCGAATCCGGGTTCAAGTCAGTAGAATGTGACTGAGTCCGCCCAGCTCTGATGGGTACCTATCTCACGTTAGGGGAAGTAAAAGCGGCTGAGCATAGTGCTGACCACACTAGCCCTACAAATGCCGAGGTCTCTGGCACAGATGAACTCTACTTCATCTGCCCCATGTTGGGCACGAACGGGAAAGGATGATGATGATGTCTTTAATTTGGTTATTTGCGATGTACGGAATATTACATTTAGTGTCGAAAGGCTCATTAAGTTATCATGAATCGTCTATGACATAAGAGTTTTAGATTCTGAGGTCGTTGTTATTTATTTTTTGTTGGGGGTGGGTGGGTAGGTGGGGGGATTGTTTTTTTTAAAGCTGGTCTTTGAATAAGATGATTGTCATTTGGATACACTTTTTAAATTGCTCATTTGTGTATAATCGGATGATGTTTACAATACTAATGTTGGTCATTTTGATTAACTTCGAACGAATCCGGTTATTTAAAGTCGTTTATGTTTATGTTGTTTCAAATAGATTCTTCTTTGGTCATTAAGTTTTGATACTGTTCATTGAGAAAAAACTGGGTAGTTGTTTTTTTTTAAATAAAAAATTGTCGGGTTCTACACTTTTGCAGTAGAATTAGTGTTTGATATGTACTTAAAACTGTAAAGGCTGCTAAAATCGTTTTAATGTGTTAAGATAGGTGGTTTCAAAGTGACATTGTATTCGCGTGGAGGTGTTTGTGAAACAGAGTACTATCGATAATGGCATACTTCCTACATTATGTTTCAGCTAAATTATTTTAAACCTCTTACATTTCGTTACAGCTTGATTATTCTAAACCTTCTTAGTTTTGTTTCTAGTGAATTACTGCAAACCTCATACATTTTATTTTTAGCTTAATTACTGTAAACCTCTAAAATTTCGTTACAGCTGGATTACTGTAAACCTCCTAAATTCCGTTTGTCCTAAATTACTGTAAACATACATTTTGTTTCTACTAAATTACTGTATTCCTAGATTTTGTTTAAGTTAAATTACTGTAAATCTTCTACATTTCGTTTCAGCTCAATTACTGTAAACCTACTTTTTGTTTCAGCTAAAGAAAAAAGGCAAGATCGACAACTACGAGAAATCTCAACGGTCTGTTGTCCTCTATCTAAATGAGGTGACCTTTGGCCTATAAAATACATTGACAAAATTTATATATTTCTTTTTTGCTGACTATCTCCCAAAACGTTTGTTCTATTAGGGAAATAGTGATTTAGATTTTCATTTAGAAATTCCACTAACCAATTAAGGACAAAAATAATTAGAGATTTCCTCAACCACACCCCCTCCCTCAGATTTCCAACAAAGACACGACGTGTGTGAAGTTCAGAGCCAGGCAGGAACATGTGGCAGACAACATTCAACCTGCTAAGGTGCAGGTCTTTGATTATTATAATCCAGGTGAGTTATGGGATGTTGGTGTAGGGGTGGCATTACAGGTGGGGGCAGGTCTTTGAATATTGTAATCCAGGTGAGTAGTGGGCTGTTGGTATAACGGTGGACATTACAGGTGGGGACAGGTGTGCCAGTTCAGGTGGGGATAGGTATGTAGTGACAGGTAGGTACAGGTATGGCTTTACAGGCAGGTGCACCTGTGTATTGGCAGGTAGATGCAGGTGTGCATTTCGAGTCATGGCGGATAGATGAAGTAGAGTTCATCTATTTCCACGACCTTGTATGCAGAAAGATGGTGTGTTCAGTAACACTAACCTCCACGTCCCACACTGCTAACTTAGGTGTTTCGAACTCAAGCGTTTCAGTATACCAGTCATACACTCTACCAATCGACCACGCAAACAATTCAGACATCATATTTTGACCCAAAGTTATCAATAAACACACGACAATTGAGAAGGTTTTGAAGACAAACAAAATGTTTTCCGTGTTTTATATAGAATTTTATTTAAAATCTTAAAATGTCGAATCCGATATAAGGTCAGGATGACTTTTGCTGATGTATCAAATCCCACTCACGTGAAATACCACCCTCCTATTAAATGATGCATGATGAAACTTTATATCAATCAATAAAAACAATGGATGACGTCGTCAGTGTAAAACAATAAGTCCATTAGTTGTGTTATTACTTGATCTGTTTTACTTAAGTGGAATATGCAGGCACTACATGTTTTCTTGTTATGGCTGTTCTTTTGGCTGACAAAGCCAGGAATATTATTTGTTATACGAACAAAGAAAAAAATAAATTCCTGTTTTTGTTCATTTATCTGTCGATGCAGTCTTAAACATTAAAACTTTTAAGAAATAATAACATTAACACTGAAAAAATAGAAGTTTTATCTTTAAAAATGGGTGAAAAAAATGTGCAAACTATGAGAAGTTGAAAATAATTTCTTTTATTTGTTTGCTATTTGCTAAATAATCATTACTGATTCTTACATTCTTGAGTATATTGCTGCTATTATACAAATATCTGTTTTGTTTGATTTTCGTACTTTAATACACAACAATGGTCACAAATCAGTGGTCTTCTGATACAATAATACCTAATTTTTACAAGCTTTTATTTAACTCACTTCCTCTGTCTGTCGTCAGTCTAGACGGAAACGCAGGAGTGAAAATTCGGACAGTTCTACTTGACCGATACGATTCACAGTTGGCACGTGGGTCAAGACATGAAGACAATGCAATCTGAAACTAAATTTGACTTAATTGGAAGCCTAATTGATTTTTTATGAATTAATTAAAATTTGGACCGAATTAGTAGGCATGTCTAGCCAACCACACCACACGCGTCATCAATAGCTGCGCCATCACGACCACGTAATGGCTGCGTTCAAAAACCATTGCGCGCCTACTGAACGTGATATTCATTAGGCGCGCAATGGTTTTTAGTCATGTAACTCTATTGTAGATAAAACATGTAAAGTACTGAAAAAAAATTCATAAAAAACGTTTTAATAACAAGCTTTTATGTAATGATGCACTAAAAAGTAGAAAATAAATTATAGACTACTATTTAAATAACTATAAAGAAAAGCGTGGGTGTCTTCCTTAACATTAGTAAAGGTATCCAATAGATACTAAAGTGACCCACGCTTTTCTTTATAGTTATTTAAATAGTAGTCTATAATTTATTTTCTACTTTTTAGTGCATCATTACATAAAAGCTTGTTATTAAAACGTTTTTTATGAATTTTTTTTCTTTGTACACTTTAATCTCACGTATGTATGTGTATATACTCTAATTTAGGTAGGTATACACTTGTCTGGGAACAGGGCATTTCCCCCCTGTCAATTACCCCCCGGATATTCCCCCCCCCCCCGACATTACCCCCCAGAGTAATTACCCCCTGTCAATTACCCCCCACCCAGTAGGACATTACCCCCCCCCCCCCCCGGACAGGGTTAGAGTTAGGGCTAGGTTTAGGGTTAGGTTTAGGGTTAGGTTTAGGGTTAGGGTTAGGTTTAGGGTTAGGGCTAGGGTTAGGGTTAGGGCTAGGGCTAGGGCTAGGGTTAGGGTTTGGTTTTATGGCTAGGGTTAGGGTTAGGGTTTGGTTTTAGGGCTAGGGTTAGGGCTAGGGTTAGGGTTAGGTTTTAGGGCTAGGGTTAGGGTTAGGGTTAGGTTTAGGGCTAGGGTTAGAGTTAGAGTTAGGGTTAGGTTTAGGGTTAGGTTTAGGGCTAGGGTTAGGGTTAGGTTTTAGGGCTAGGGTTAGGGTTAGGGTTAGGGCTAGGGTTAGAGTTAGAGTTAGAGTTAGGGCTAGGGTTAGGTTTAGGGTTAGGTTTAGGGCTAGGGTTAGGGTTAGGGTTAGGGTTAGGGTTAGGGTTTGGTTTTAGGGCTAGGGTTAGGGTTAGGGTTTGGTTTTAGGGCTAGGGTTAGGGCTAGGGTTAGGGTTAGGTTTAGGTTTAGGTTTAGGTTTAGGTTTAGGTTTAGGGCTAGGGCTAGGGTTAGAGTTAGAGTTAGGGCTAGGGTTAGGGTTAGGATTAGGTTTTAGGGCTAGGGTTAGGGCTAGGGTTAGGGCTAGGGCTAGGGTTAGGGTTAGAGTTAGAGTTAGGATTAGGATTAGGGCTAGGGCTAGGGCTAGGGTTAAGATGAGGGTTAGGGCTAGGGTTAGGGTTAGAGCTAGTTTTAGGGTTAAGGTTGTGTCTAGCTTTGGTTTTGGTTTTGTGTGAAGTTTTAGACTAAGGTGGATGCTTAGGTTTTGGTCTTTTTCTTAAGGTTTGGATTAAAGTAGTATATAGGTATAAAATTCTAGTTAGAGTTAGGATTTTAACTTGAGAGGGGGGGGGGGGTAAATAACAGGGGGTTATTGCTCCGGGGGGTAAATACGGGGGGGGGGGGAAATGTCCGGGGTGGAAATATCCAGGGTGGTAATGTCCTGTAGCCCACTTGTCTAGTATCAACATCAATGACTAGTTTATGTAATAATGTTTAAGTTAAATATTGAGTATAAATAGAAACGTCTAGTTCATGTCTAGCTTAACACCAAATGTCTACTTTAAGCAGAAATGTCTACGTTAAGCAGAAATGTCTACTTTAAGCAGAAATGTCTACTTTAAGCAGAAATGTCTACTTTAAGCAGAAATGTCTACTTTATTGTCATACTTGATTGACAGACGAACGCTGCACTGTGTTCTACAAGGCCAACAACGTCAGCGGGCAACTGGCCAACTTTTGTGACAACCGGAAACAGATTTGTCAGTGCTTGGAGAGTAAGTTTTGTTTGTGTTTACGTTTTAAGTTCGTCTGTTTGGAGAGTACGTTTATTTCTTGTTTTTACATGATTTATGTTCGTCAGTGTTTAGAGAGTACATTTTATTTCTTGTTTTTACATGCTTTATGTTTGTCAGTGTTTAGAGAGTGCGTTTTATTACTTGTTTTTACATGTTTTATGTTCGTCAGTGTTTAGAGATTCCGTTTATTTCTTGCTTTTACATGTTTTATGATTGTTCGTCAGTGTTTTGAGAGTATGTCATTTTTGTTTTTGTTTTATTTTCGTCAGTGTTTGTTTGATTTAATTCAGTGTTTAGAGAGTATGTTTTTTTACTGTTTTCATTGTTGAAACATAACGCCTTTTTTAGGAAACAAAATTTAGATAATGAAACAAATTAAATATTTATTTTTTTCAAAACACACGAACAAAATCCTAAATATTAAAAATCTTTCTCAACGTAAATGTCGGCATAAAATGAACCATTAATATTTAAAACTCACAGTTTTTTCTCCTAACAACATTGTCTGTCCTTTGTGTTTTTTTTCTTCCTATTTTTACTTTCTCGTATATACGAAGTATAGAGAAAGTCTTGTAATCGTGCAAAAAAAAAAAATCGAGATTTTTGCAAATCTCGACGTTTTGCATCTCACTGATACGGAAAAACATAATTTTGCAATCTTGTCCGTATGTCTGTGTGTCTGTGTGTGTGTCTGTGTGTGTGTGTGTCCGTGTGTAAACACGATAACTTGAGTACCGTTACAGCTAGGTTGATGAAATTTCATATATAAGTATTTTATCAAAATCGTAGATCCGTATCAACTTTTGAGCGATTTCCGATAACCGGAAGTGGTACTTTTCCTACTTTGAATTTTTCAAAAGCCTATAACTTGAGTACTATTTCAGATAGATAAATGAAATTTCATACGTAAGTAAAAGATCTAATTCTCTACCTTCTATTAAATTTTGAGTCATTTCCGTTGACTGGAAGTAGTACTTTACGCTACTTCCGATTTCTCAAAAAACTAATGTAAATTTTAAAAGTAATAATAATATTGCGCACTATTATGCGCTTTTTTATTTCGCGTTCACTTGGTGTGCAATTAATTTGTCTACGAGATTTTATTCTATTTTTAAAACTTTAAGTATTTAAAATGGATTAAAAATCATGTCTATAGCCCGAGTTCCCATCCCCTGTTATTTTATATAAGAATATTCGAGAAAGTTTAGGGGAGATCACTCCCGGTTTATTTTTTATTCTCTAAGCATCCTGAGAATATTTTAAAGTTTAACATAATATGTTGTTGTTGAAGTACGTTTGGCAATAGAACATTTTATTGCACTCTATTGGGGTTCACGTTTCCTTGACCTTTGGTTTCTGTTGTGTAAAACGTCCATTTCTGCCCAAAGTTCAGATTATTGTCTACTGGACATTACTCCCTGTGCAAGATTAAGTCGTTTGTTCAAATCACCTTTTGTTTTTCCCAATGAAGTATCTTAACTGAAAAACTCGAAACTTTTTAACAAACAATAGATATGATATTTGCAAATGATTGTATTTATTAAAAAATATCAAGGTATCCCTACATTTATATATATATATATATATATATATATATATATATATATATATATATAAAATATACATAAGGGACGGAACTACCATGCCGCCAGACCCCGCAATGCGGGGGGGGGGGGGGGGCAGGACGTTTAAGGGCCCGATATTCCGACCAAAAAAAAATGAATTTTCTTTTTATAAATACTGTTTTTCGTGCACCTTGATAGTGGTTTTGTGGTTTTGTTTAAAAAAAACAGGTCTACTATAACAGTGATTGTTTTATGGTATTTATATACAGAGAAAAATATTTAAAAATCTACAAGAACTGTTGTCTGAAATATAGGCAAACATTCAACTACTTCCATGACTTACTGCCCTTCTTTAAAATAATGATGTCAATAAAGCTCATTTAAATAGTTTTATACTATGTAAATTAAAAAGCGATTAATTCTCTTAATTTTTATTTAAATAAGACATAATAAAGAAGTTTATAGCTATAAAAATAAATGTATCCAAAATTAATAAAATAAACACAACAAAGCATAAAAATAAACATAATGCTAGAAACCATTGCACAAATCAAGCGTACGAGTTTATCTACCTTCTGATCAGCTAGGCAGTGATCATACATATTTTTTCAAAGTTTTCGAATTATGTACTATTTTTTACTTTCTCGTATATACGAAGTATAGAGAAAGTCTTGTAATCGTGCAAAAAAAAATCGAGACTTTTGCAAATCTCGACGTTTTACATCTCACTGATACGGAAAAACATAATTTTGCAATCTTGTCCGTATGTCTGTGTGTCTGTGTGTGTGTGTGTGTGTGTGTGTCCGTGTGTAAACACGATAACTTGAGTACCGTTACAGCTAGGTTGATGAAATTTCATATACAAGTATTTTATCAAAATCGTAGATCCGTATCAACTTTTGAGCAATTTCGGATAACCGGAAGTGGTACTTTTTCTACTTTGAATTTTTCAAAAGCCTATAACTTGAGTACTATTTCAGATAGATAAATGAAATTTGATATGTAAGTAAAAGATCTAATTCTCTACCTTCTGTCAAATTTTGAGAATTTTTCGTTGACCGGAAGTACTTATTTACGCTACTTCCGATTTCTAAAAAACTAATGTAAATTTTAAAAGTACTAATAATATTGCGCACTATTATGCGCTTTTTTATTCGCGTTCACTTGGTGTGCAATTAATTTGTCTACGAGATTTTATTCTATTTTTAAAACTTTAAGTATTTAAAATGGATTAAAAATCATGTCTATAGCCCGAGTTCCCATCCCCTGTTATTTTATATAAGAATATTCGAGAAAGTTTAGGGGAGATCACTCCCGGTTTATTATAACTTTCTTGTACATGTATTTTTAATTATCTTCATTAGAGTTGTTGATCGTTTTAGTAATGTTCACCATTTTGATCATGCAATGATAATTTTTATTAATGTTTGAACTATGTCAAATACTAAGCACACACACATTTGTATATTATGTTGTTGTAAATATTTCTATTAGAAAATAAAGGTATTTAAAAAAAAAATAACTTGCTTGTACATTACATTTTAGATTAAATACAGCTCATTGAGACCTGAGTTCAAATTGTGCTGAGCATTACTTGCAAATGTAACTTGTAGATAATTATGGTCAATTCTGGTTGTCCATGATAAAGAATTAGGGTTACTGTTTACGATTAATATCTGTATTTAAAATAATATTTGACATGTTTTACAATAGGATATTAAAGTTGTATAAATTAAAAAAAAATAACACAGCAAAAAAAAAAAAAAAAAAAAGTTAGAATTAGCATTACTCAATGCCCGTTAAAAAATTATTTTAAAAACTTGTATTGATGCTAGCAGTTACAAGATTTACTAGAAGTGATTTGTTTAGGCGATTTTTTTTTCATTCTGATTTAATGTCTTTGTTTTTTAATTAAACAAATCAAACTTAACGAATATAAAAATACTGACATTAAAAAAACACACACATAGACACTCTCTCCACCCCCCACCCCACCCCCCCCCCCCCCCCCCGAAGAGATGCCTGGAAGAAACTCGATTGAAAATTAATCGTGTACTCTCCTTCCTCTGTTCTTTTTATTAGGGTTAATATCCCTTTCTGTTTACATTGCTGTTTCCGTTTTATTATAAATCTGAATTTACGAGAGCGTTTCTAGCCGCAACAAAAAAAAAACAACATCCCTCCCTTCCTCCCTCCCACCACCCCCCCCCCCCCCTACCCCAAGAACGAACACATAATCCTCTTAGTGCCTAGAATGTGCTGTCTGACTTATTTATGTTAAGCGTTAGATTATTCTAGAAACTGCAACTGTAATACAATTTTATTAAGGAATAAAATCTATAAGCTTATAGCTGATTATTTCCCTGCCTATTGCCTTTCCCCCCTCATCTCTTACCTCCCCCTCCCTCCTTGCTCATTTCCACACATCGCAGTTTATATTCCGAACCATCTAAAATTACGTCTTTCCATCTTCGACAACATTGTCTGAGCCAAGATAGATTGATCCATTTATATAAGAATTTACAAAATATATAATTTATTTTAAATAATGCTAAATTACTTTTTCATGCCAAATTTATGTTTACTCCACACATTTGTACGCAATCTACTTTTAGTGTTTTTACTTCTACATAAAGTATATTTTTTTACTGCTACTTAAGCTCCATGTTTTTATACTGCTACTGACGCTCAATGTTTTTATACTGCTATTTTAGGTCGATATATTTTTTACAGCTACTAAAGTTCCATGTTTTTATACTGCTACTTAAGCTCCATGTTTTTATACTGCTATTTTAGGTCGATATTTTTTACAGCTACTAAAGTTCCATGTTTTTATACTGCTACTTAAGCTCCATGTTTTTGTACTGCTACATAAGCTCCATGTATTTTTACTGCTACTTAAGCTCCATGTTTTTATACTACTACTTAAGCTCCATGTTTTTAAACTGCTACTTCAGGTCGATGTGCTTTGTGTGAGGAGAGTTGGCATGGACTGGGCTGGATGGATGTCATGAAGTTCGCCTGCACTAACGCTACATATGGTAAGTTGTAAATGTCAATGACATCTTGAATGTCATGAGAGGACTTGAGTTGTTGCGAATTATGAATGTCAAAAACTTCACCTAAACCACATGTGGAACGGTGGAATGTCAACGTAGATGTCATGAAATTTAACATTACTGTTAACTGTCCCTTATGGCAAGTACATATAGATGTCATGACTTCTTCACCTTTGCCCTTACTTGTCCCTCATGACATGCAGATGTCAAGCACTTCGCCTTTACCCACACCTTTCCATGATGACATGTACATATAGATGTCATGCACATCACTTATACCCTTACCTGTCTTTGATGACATATAGATGTCATGCACTTCACTTATACCCGCACCTAAACCTTATGTCATATGTCATGTATTTAACCTATACCCTCTCCTGCTCATGATGACATAGATGTCACGCACTTCACCTTTTACCCTAACTTATCCCAAATGACATGTACATGACATTTACTCCCCACAGTTCTGGAGGTGAAGGCACTAGACAGGGACCTGGAGAAGGCTGGCTTTGAGCGACTCCTGGGACAGATCAACGCCATCCACTCACAGAGTAAGCCGGAACTGTTGATACTGTTTCTTTCATTACACGCTCAGAATGGTTACTTAAAGGGAGATCATTATGATCATTATCTCCATTCAAGAAAAAAATCGATTAGAGTAGTCTCCCATGCATGCAGATAGACCCCTTTGCAAATGACGTCAAGTGTCAGTCACGATGTAAACATCCGCCATTGTGGTGTACCTAATCTAAGTTAAAAATTGGTGATCTACGCTGTGAAAGATCGTACTACGGGAAGTGGAACTTCTATAGCCTTTCTTTATCTGTTAAAGTAAATGTTTATTATTCCGGATGGGTAATGTAATAGTGTTTCATGTTTTATTTTAACTGAAGTTTTCTATTGAAGGGCTAGAATTCAACAAACGGGTTGGGTTTATAACGAATGGAAGGTATGCGTATCTTTGTTTAGGGATAGAGTTTAGGCATTATTAATAAGTAAATTGGCGGTACTAGAGAAAAAAGGATTAGATAAATATTTCTCAAGCTACGTGTTAGGGAGAGAGTTAAGACCTAATTTAAAGTAAGTCAGCGGTACTAAAAGAAAATTAGCTTATATAACTTTTGTTTAAGCTTATAATTTTCTTAAGCTACTACTAGCAGTGTAACATTTTTTTTGGTGTAGGAGGTCGTCATGAGATGAAGGTCGGCGACAAGGTCATCCTTCTGAAGCGGTCGTCCTGCTTCTGTCCTCGAGTTACCCCAGGAGAGAACTACCTGATGCTTCTGTCAGATTCCAAGAGATTCAAAGACGCCGACGGTCATCAAATGTAAGCAGACTTTAAAGATTCAGATTGGTAGCCCGTCTGTATGGGCAATGTAACGTGTCTATTTTTAAGTTAAATGATTTTTGATTGACAAGTACGTCTGTAAAGAGGGATGGGTATTTTGTAACTAATAAAAATGATAATACTGCTTCTGATGAATAGTTTTCCTTGTGTGGGTGTAGTAATGTAATGCACTAGCAGTTAATCCGTGTTTACTTCTATTAGTGCCTTCAGCTGTAACCCATTGTAGCGGTCTCATGTTTACCCAAATTAACGCCTCATTGTTTCTCCCTAGTAACGCCATGTCTCCCCCTAGTAACGCCATATCTCCCTAGTAACGCCATGTCTCCCCCTAGTAACGCCATATCTCCCTAGTAACGCCATATTTCCCCCTAGTAACGCCATATTTCTCCCTAGTAACGCCATATTTCTCCCTAATAACGCCGTATTTCCCCTAGTACCGCCATATTCCCCCCTAAAAACGTCATATTTCCCCCTAGTAACGCCATATTTCCCCCTAAAAACGTCATATTTCCCCCTAGTAACGCCATATTCCCCCCTAACAACGCCATATTTCTCCCTAGTAACGCCATATTTCCCCCTAGTAACGCCATATTTCCCCCTAGTAACGCCATGTTTCCCCCTAGTAACGCCATATTTACCCCTAGTAACGCCATTTTTCCCCTAGTAACGCAATATTCCCCCCTAACAACGTCATATTTCCCCTAGTAACGCCATATTCCCCCCTAACAACGCCATATTTCCCCCTAGTAACGCCATGTTCCTCCCTAGTAACGCCATGTTTCCCCCTAGTAACGCCATATTTTCCCCATGTAACGCCATATTTCCCATTTAAAACAGCATTTTTCTTCTCAGTAACATCATGTTTCCCCCTTGTAATGCCATTTTCCCCCTTGTTAAGGCCATCTTTCCCCCTAACAACGCCATATTTCCCCTAGTAACCCCATATTTCCCTAGTAACGCCATATTTCCCCCTAGTAACGCCATATTTCCCCCTAGTAACGCCATATTCCCCTAACAACGCTATATTCCTTCCTAACAACGCCATCTCCCCTAACAACGCCATGTTTACCTCTAACAACACCATCTCTCCTATCCCTACAGCTATGCCTTATTTCCCAATAACAACGCCATCTCCCCTAACAACGCCATATTTCCCCCCTAACAACGCCATCCCCCCTAACAACACCATCCCCCCTAACAACGCCATATTTCCCCCCTAACAACACCACCTCTCCTATCCCCACAGCTACGCCTTCCTCCTGGACAAGAAAGTATTCGTCATCCAGCACCTAAAGCCTCGCGGTCTGAGCGGGAGTCAGAAGGAAATCGCCAAGGTCGTCAAGAGGGTTCTCAAGCGGCTGGAGCGCCGGGGCTGCGGGCCCCACAAGTCTGTCAGGAGCGGGGTGAGGAGGAGGAGGGTCAGGCGGGTCAAACATGTCAAGATGACCTGAAGAGTTTTATTTTTGTTGTTCGAGAGAGATATGATACATTTTTAAAATACAATTTATGATGTTATACAACAGCGTCGTATGCTTTTTTTCTCTTTGTTATTTTTTTTTCTTTTTTTTTTTGGCGGTTTTTTTTTTATGTTGCTGTTGTTGAAGTATCTGGTAGAACAGAAGAGCTTATCACTACTGTCTTGGGTGTCTCATGTTCAGTTACTAGAGTAGAACCTGTAGGACCTATCCTTGGCCTCCCAGTATTGGTTCAAGTTAGCGAAGATGAAGTCAGATTTTTAGTTGAGGTCATTGAAAACAGATGGACTCTACTTCAGCTGCTCACGTAGGGACGCAATCGTTAATTTGATAGTGCTAAAGATCAAAAGGAGTTTTAAGCACTGAAGCTATCAGATGATGATAATCAAATATTTAAACACAATCGAACACACACACTACATCCCTCCACTTCATCCTGTACTCGGTACTTGCCTCACTCACTAATTAGCTCACTCACACCCTCACTCATTAGCTCACACACTCATTCATTCACTCACTCGCTCACTCATTCGCTCACTCATCCAATACACACAGACCAATACCACCCCACCCCAAGTTAAAAATTCACTCACTCAACTAGCCCCCCCCCCCTCCACATCCACTCTTTCACTCACCCACTCACACAACCAAACACAGCCACTCACAACTTAATTTAACACACGTCCCAACCAAAGCCAACCCTATACCAGTACTCACCAACATGTATCAGAGTAAATCCCATGTTCATGGTTTACAACTCCACTGTCCTAGTTAACACCTTCTTGTTTTAAAATAGCACATGCCGAGTAATTAACAGTTTAATTTACTTAGTCTTTAATGAAATACATTGTATTATAACGTCGTGGTCAAAGGATAGAGCGCTTGACCGCAACACGAATGACTCGAGTTCGGATCCGAGGTTTGATACTATGGGACATCCCTGAATCCACCCATATAGGTACATTCCTTAACGTGAGTCATCAAGAAGTAAAGGCGGCTGGGCATAGCGCTGACTACAATACTCCTTCATATCATGACATATATGAAACATGAGGAATCCACTTCACCTGCCATATGGACTAAATTTCTAAAGGGTATTTTACTTTTACTTAAAATATAACATCTCATTTGAATCTCTCATGGTCACAGTTATGCAACCCCCCCCCCTACCCCTACCCCGACATTGTCAAAATACCCACATCAAAAATACGTTCGTTGTTTTACACGGCTAAGTCACTACACCTCCCACACACTTCCTCTCACACAAACATGTCTCCCTTTACATACTAAACATTACACCCTCACACTAACCACCACACACAACGACCCATCACAAAATCCGTCCCCTCCACTTCTCACCCCCCCCCCCCTCCACAACTTAGTGTTTATCACATGACTTCAATGTAATCAAAAAACCTCATCAAACTCTCCCACTAACCCATCAATTAATTATGCATGACCCAAGTAATTAACCCCATCCCCAATCTACATATTTTCTTCTATCCTAACCCACCCAGATGAACAACAGAACGACCTCAGCGCTAGTCTAGTTATAAATCTAACCAACAGTTATAAACCTCCCTGGGAGATAGATCTCATCTCAAGATATAAATCTGGTCTGGTTCAATGTTCAATGGATCGCTTGTTTACCAAGGTCGTTTATCTACACTTCATCAGGTGCGGGTGGGATTTGATCCCGTGACTCTTTTTTCAAGAGTATTTGGATTCGTTTGTTTAGAGTTTAGATCATTATCGTCTTGGGGAAGTTTATTTGTTGGGGGGAAATAAAGATAAGAAAATAATGAATTCGAATAACACACATACACACATACACATATATACACACTGAAGGAAGCATGTACACATACACACACTTACTGAAGCTAACACACGGATTTTCGTTTAGGCAGAAAAAAACAAATTGCCGAATACACACACACACACACCACATCCACACAACCACACACACACCACACACACAGCCGCATACACACACACAAAATCCACACAAGTACACACAAAACCGCACATAAACACACCACATCCACTCAATCACACAACAATACGAAACTCGTTGGTTAAGTATCAAATGATCATTCTATTTACTTTTAAGTGATAATGTTGGCCTTACGTTTATTTAACGGATTAACTGTTAAAACAATTCCTGATAATGTGTTATTAATGAGTTCATTTACGACTATCTATTGTAAAGAAGTTAATTCCGTATACTTACTCGACGTTGTCTCTGTAATTGATCATTTGGTCAGTCAGAACTGGGTTCAGATCCTAGTTGGAATGATTGTTTTTGTGTGTGTGTGTGTCTGTGTGTGTGTCTGTGTTTGTGTCTGTGTGTGTCTGTGTGTGTGTCTGTGTGTGTGTCTGTGTGTGTGTCTGTGTGTGTCTGTGTGTGTCTGTGTGTATCTCTGTGTGTGTGTGTATGTGTGTGTGCGCGTGTGTGTGATTATTTCCGACAAACGAAAACATCTTGTTTATTCATTGATCAAGAGTCCTCAGAAAGCCGATGGAAAAATCACTTGTTATTTCTAAACCTTAGGTCACGGTTTTTAACCTGGGCTCAAGATAATAGGCTGTCTTAGTTTGAATCGCCCCTCCCCTCCACACCCTCACACCCCCCCCCCCCCGTACCCAAACCGGGTACCATAGGCAAGGGATGTAACAATATGATAGAAAACTAATTTATTGTTGATGGTTACTATCAAAGGTTAGAGAATTCCACAATTCATCATTATTGTAGCGGTCAGTTTGTCACAACAAACATACTGTTCATTCGTAGATCAAGAATCGAGAGTTTGCTGAAGGGTAGATCAGACCCCCCCCCCTCCCTCCCCGCCCCCAGGGGCACCTGAAAAGACCTTTACGAGTCAGTTAGACCCATATGAGAAAAGGACAAACAAATTTCAATATTCTGTAGTGCACATTAAAAAGGGACAAATTCATGAGCAATCACCCTGGAAACTTAAAACCACAAAAAAAAAAATTAACCCTCGTGGAAGATATTAACCCCACCGGAGACATCTAACCCCAATGGGGAAAAACTAACCCCACGGGGTACATTAACCAACTGAAAAATTTAACATCACTGACAGAATGTAACTGCACTGAAAAAATATAACCTCACTAAATAAAAACGTAACCGGGGTCACCTTTCACACTTACTCTCTCGCTTACGTCCCTTGATCAATACAAACAACGACACGATTGTGTTCCAAGCTCAATTTTAAACTTCCCAACAGGTGATTTGAATAACCTGTAATTTACATCAGGAGTCAGCGCCCCCTGTGACGCGTGCGTCATGTAAGCGACGCACCGGCTGGCAGGGAAATTACAGGAGGAGATTGAACGAGCAACGCCTTGATCTTAATAGGCACAAGGATTTTGAAATCTGGCACTAGCAGAAGATTTACTTCTAGTTCAGGGTGCTGATAAGTTAAGTCGATTACAAGAATTTTTATGAGTCTCGTTCACAATGAGAAAAAACAAGTTCATTTTTTTTTCATTGTGGAGGTAGATGGTCAATTTGACCTTATCATCGAAAAGCCAAATCTTTTTCTCGTGTATAGCAGATGAAGTAGAGTTCCCCTTAATTTTTTTATCACGACCTTTGCCCCATGCACTCACCACCCTTATGGTAACCAGGAGCAGTGGCGTCGCTAGGTCGGGTGTCACCCGGTGGGGCACTTCGTGGTTTCACACCCCCCCCCCCCCCCACCCCCAAGAAACAAACTATATATATATATATATATATATATATATATATATATATATATATATATATATATATATGTGTGTGTGTGTGTGTGTGTGTGTATTATGTATGTATGTGCATAAACTTTAATCACTGCAGAATTGATAGCAACGATGTTTATCTATAGTCTGTTGATAATACATCTGGATGTAGAATTGTTTTCTTTTTATAGTTAGTAGATTTTTACTAAAAATACTTTTTGGCTTTAATTAATCATCAATGGAACTGTCAAAAAGCATTTTCTTCTGTACATTTTGCGATTTTTTTTCCCTTGTTGTCAACCCCCTTAAATTGTGTCGATGTGATTTGCTTGAAAATTATAACACAAAAATGTGATGATAAATAAAAACTGGAAACATATTTTACTGTAAAACTAGTTTTATTTGCAATCAATTAATTAGTTGTATATATCGATTTTTCAAATTGCGAAAATAATGAAATACCGGATCTAATTAGTATAACATCTAAAACATAAAATTAATTTTGTTATCAAATCACTGGCAAATTATTATTTATGATTAATTAGTAAGACTTATTGATTATTCAAACTGTAAGCATAATGAAACACCAGATTCAATTAGTATTTGACCATCTAAAACGTAGAAGGTAATATTTTTTTTTAAATGACTGATAAATTATTTTTATTGATAAATTAATTAGACATATCGATTATCTAAGTTGTGAATATATTGAAATGCCAAATCTAATGACTATGGCAACATCTAAAACATAAAGGTAATTTTTTATAAAATCACAGATAAATATCCTTACTGCAAAATGTGCAGAGTATCAAATAGTAAATTTCAACTTCAATAGAACAAAATGTATTTAGCTTTTACAACAATAAAAATCTGGGACCTGTCAATTCCACCACAAAATCATTTTGAGAACTCATTTTACGAAGGCTATGAAAGACAGCAAAAAAAAACTATGTTAATAAGTCTAAACGCTTTACGATTTAAAGTTAATTTCGTTAACAGGGAAACGACTGTTTAATTTTTACTATTTTAAAATACGTTATCATGTTAATGCATTTTGGAATTTTCTTGAAATGTTACGTTTTTGATGAGCATCATTCTTTTCCCCCACATTTGAGCGTTATGATAACGGTTTAAATACCCACTACTGTAAATCGACTACACAAAAATTGTACCATGGAGAGGTCCAATCATTGACCCCCCCCCCCCTCCCACACACCCACCTTTTTAAATGGTAGTTTCTAGATGCACCCTCGGCGTATACAAGTTAACCTGTTACATTATTACCTTTTTAAAAAGATATACTTAAGACACCCATAACCATAATACACTTATTTTTATATAACTGCATAACTATTTTCAAGAGGTCAATTTAAAAAAAAAATGTACTTACTATCAATTGTACTAGGTATTTGGAATCTGACGTGGATCATTAGTTGAAAAATTTGTAACAATTTTTTTTAGTAAAAATTATATCTTGAACTTAAGCCTTTCTTTTATTTCACATTCTAATAGCCATATGAATAAGTTTTGCTGAAAAACATTAATATAACTCCCGTTAAAAACTTCGTAATATTTCTTTTGGAAACGCTATGTGAAAACTAGTTTTTGGACAATTTATTATTTCCCTTGTCCCTGCTTCTCTCCCCTATTTTTGTTTTACCCTTCCTTCAAAATATATATTAAAAAAACTGTTACATAAATGAGATCTAAGGACAAAAAAACTATTTCGGGATGTGCCCCTTTGCATCCAGTCATCCATCATCCATGCTTCATCCAGTGGATCAGCTGACCCGTCATCCACGGCGCCGTTTCCTTGGACACCTGTGGACAGAAAGAGCCAGTTGAGCTGCGGACTGGCTAATTAGGCGATAGATTCGGACAATAGATTGGCTAACTCTAGGGTGTAGGAGTTCTTTCTCCGCAGAGATACAATTTATTTAAGGGGTTGTCCAGAAATCACTTCATGCTCCTAAAGAGGAGAGAGAGAGAGAGAGAGAGAGAGAGGGGGGGGGGGGTTACGTACTTTTATGTGTAACAATTGGGGAAGTGGGGTCAGAATGTGTAACAAAACAATTTGACCTCATAAAAATTAATGTTTAAAATTAAATATAAACTATTATTTCTCGTTTTTTTTTAAAAATATTTTGATTTGTAAATATATATCTATATATATCTATATATATCTATATCTATCTATCTATCTATATATATATATATATATATATATATATATATATATATATATATATATATATATATATATATATATATAAGTATATACAGCGTCGATCCGGATCAGTAATATTTTAGAAAAAAATCGCTGTTTTAAAAAATTAATTTAAAATTTAGAGTCGGGTTGTAGACTTGAGTGTGGCGGCGTTAGGGGAGAATGGGTGTGGCGTTTTGTGACGATGTGTGACGATTGGGTGGGGGAGGTAAAAACTGTTTTAAAAAGCGTGAGGATGACCTTTAAGCAAACAAAAAATTAGAAAAGAAACGATTTGGAAAACAATGTAACTTCAATACATCTTTATTTTAACTGCTCTGTAGGATACTGTGGCAAAAATATAGATTGTAGTTACATTGGTAAACGTTAGATTAAGAATACATTTTTAAAATTAAGTTCCGAATTTTAAGATTTAAATCATGATGTAATCGAAATTGGGAACATTGTTTGAATAATTTTGTAGGAGTAATTTTATATTTTTTAAACACTCGCTCTTGTAATATGTTCATCCTTGTTTTAAGATTGTCTCTCCTCCCCCCCCCCCCCCCCTTCATCGATTAGGCCGGGCCCTTCCTAACATGTCGTAACGATTTGTAATTGTTTTTTTATACACGTGTTTTTTTTTTTTTTATTGAAAATATTAACTGAGCTGAGTCTAAATGAAGAATACTGACACTTTCTTTTACATACTCTTCTTTCAAAAAATGCAAAATAAATAATATTTTTACGTTTTTAAAATTTGACTTTTTAAATTACAAAAGTGTGACGTTATACTTTATGAATTTTTAAACCCCCCACCCATTTTACGTAAGTCATACTGTGAGAATTAATCTCCACTATCAAAGGAATGGACGACCCCTTAAATTCCTCTACAATACAATAAAGTAGTTCCCCTGCTGTATCATACGATTCATGTGGCATAGAGTTCATCTGATTCATGACCAGGGAATATGAACATATAATGTGGTCAGCATTGTGCCCAACCGCCTTTACTTTCCCCAACATAAGTCAGGTACCCATCAGAGCTGAGTGAACTCAGCGACGTCTTACAGACCTCCATCGAAACGGTACTCACTCGCAGCAAGCCAGGCCAATCCCGTCCTCACAGACACACTCGTAGCAGATGCCGTCCTTGGTGCCCTCGATGAACTCACCCTTGTCCATAAACTGACTGGGGTGAGCCATCTGTGTGTGGCAGAACTCGTGCACGCGACCGTCTGGGGCTGCGGACGAAATGGTGGGGAGAGGTAATTAGCATAATTGTTTAATTGGGTGTTTGTGTGTCGGAATTTTAAAAAGTAGGGAAGTGGTTTAAGTGAAACATAGCTAATTCTGGGGAAAATATGCAAGGGGAATAGGGCTTGTAAGTAGGTCAACAAATTCTCGTTCTCGTATTCGCCAGGTAGTATGCCTATTTTCAAACCAAATGAGAATTTTTTTTTTTATTAAATCGCTAAAAATTAAAAAGAAATAGCAAAATTTCTTTCCGTTATTGTTAAGTTATTCTGATTTAAAATACTTAAAAATAAAAAGTAATGATAGACTACAAGATGCAGGCTAGTTTAATAAAAAGATTTAGCCTACGCCAAATTGAGATTTTTATTTTTTAAAGCCTACAGTTTTGTTATTATTTATACGAGTTCATAAAACATTGTCATGCAATACTATTGATATAATATTAATAGCCTAGGTCTACCGGCACTTAATTTAATTATATTATTAGTAAAAAAAATTAATAATTAAGGCATTGTGGGTACTCTAGGTATTTTAAAATCTTAAAGAAAAAAAAATCGCAGCCATGTTTTTGTTATCAATGGGAATCAATTTAGTTTGAAAAATTTATATCTCTTCCCGGCTAACAAGATTTCCAATTTTAAGCGAGAGAGAACGAGACTTACTAGTTCTATTCCCAAGAGAAATTGGTAAGGTTGGTCAGATAATGGTGGAAAAGATTTGGTTTAGTGTGTAAGTCTAGTGTAGTGTCGCTGTTGTGTCGTCAATACCTTATAACCATGATATGTAAGAAAATATGTTTTAGTGTGTAAGACTAGTCTAATGGTGGTAGTTATATATTCAGTATATCCGGGCAAAATATTTGGAAAAAATATGCTTTACAAAGTGGTAGAAATAAAACTAAGAAGTTATGCCAAACAAAAGTGGTGAAGGAATTATTAGATAAAAACATAGTCGAAAAAAAAAATCAAAATGCAGGCCTCAATTGAGATGGTTTGATGACGTAGAAACAGAATTAAGCCAACTTGATGCCCAGATTTTTGAAAAAGAACAGTAAATAAGTCTGAGTGGAAGAAGGTGGCGTAGAAGGCCAAGACTCACACTGGACTGTAGAGACCTTATGGTTGATGTTTGCAGCGGACATTAGGAATACATACAGAGTTTCTTCCAGTCATCTCTTCGGGGGGGGGGGGGGTACTAACCCCCCCCCCCCTTCCCTAACCCTAACCATTCCCCGAAGGAAATGGAATTTATACAGGAAATATATATACTTATATCAGTGTGTCGTCGTCGTCCCCCCCCCCCCCTCGGAAAAATTAGTTCGCCCCCTCTCCCGAAAATATCAAGTACCCTCCCCCCCCCTTTTCCCCGAAGGAAATGGAATGTATACAGGAAATATATATATACTTATATCAGTGTGCCATTGTCGTCGTCCCCCCCCCCCGGAAAATTTAGTCCGCCCCCCTCCCGAAAATATCAAGTGCCCCCCCCCCGGAGAAAAAGGTCTGAAAGAAAAAATGAGTACAACCTAATGGAAGAAAATGTTTGTTTATGTGAGTATGACAATACGAATGGCGCAAGTTTTTATGTCAACATATGAGGGCGTACGAAGGTTGTATGTATACTTTTCTGCATTCTTTAATACAGAATAATTTTAGGTTTAACATTGGGACACTTGAATATATGTTATACGGTCACCATTAACAACTCAATTAAAATCACCTTAGGAAAATAAACTTTCATTTGAAGCTAAGCCTTCAATTACTAAGAAAATTTAAAACCATCTCTATCACGTCCCCTTTATAAAAAAAAAATGTTCACATTTCAAAAGAGCTTTCGATAATATTCAAAGTACTCTCATTTCAAAGCAAGTCAACAACACATTAAAAGTATATTAGGTGTGGATACGTAATTTAAGATTCCCAAAAAAAGTTTGATACTGCAAATATATATTTGATGCTTTTACTAATGAAAACATTTCCAAAGTAATTGAAATTGTATCCTTCTAAACGAACATACACTGCATCAAAAAAAAAAATCCATAATACTTGACACTAGACCTAAATAAAAAAAAATGTGTACGGATTAAATAGCTAAAGTGTTTTGCCTAATAGTTTGATTTAGGCTGATATTGAATGGCTAGCGGAAACGCGTTATGGAATTAAGCTAATCTTTAATCCATCCTAAGTTGTGAATTGTATCAGGCGATGACAGTTGGTTTAAGTATGTTAGTGCTCCAAAGCCAGGGACCTCACATTATGTAATGGGGGACTGGGGTGTGGGGGGAGGGGGTGATTGTAGCGATGGAAGGGTCCTGACTCATAGTATGTATTTTAAATAGTGTAAAACCTACGTTAGTAATGGAGGACTGTAAGATGGGGGGGGGGGGGGGGAGGGGTGAGAATGTAGCGCTGGGTTCGGAGAGTGAGCGCGGAAAGTGTGGAGACTTATTATACGTATTTTAAACGCTGTAAAAAAAACAAGTTTACGTTATTCTTATGGTTATGGGGATTAGATTTCATTCCGTATTTTTAAAAAAGGGAATGGGGAGTGGGGGGGGGGTGTCTGGCTGTTGCAACAGTTTATGGAGAGAGAAGCGAGGATTAGTTCATATAGAGTGTTCTTATTATAGAAACATTGGGGAGGGGGGGGGGGAGCGTCGCGAGAAAGGAGGGGGGGGGGGTGAAAAGGAAAGGAAAAAGGATGTACAAGGACATTAGGTTCAGCTATCGCCACTGCATATACAACCGACATTGGATTAGTTAGTATAATTCAAAGTATAACCATAGATTTGTCATGATAAATCGCACAAACACACAAATTCATACAATAAGCAAACATATTACAAAACGAAAATAAACTTCATAACCTAATTGGAAAATTATGTAAAAAAAAAAACAACAACAACATATTCTCACAAAGGGTTTATAAATGAGACAGAGTTGACAACCTTAGGTAGACGGTGCTAATGCATTAACATAGTACAACACACAACTACAAATTGTGCAACAAATAAATGACCAGCCTTAGCATCACAACGTAATTATAATAACAATCCAGTCATTAAATCTCAATCCAAATCACCCAGTGATTGTTGCAACATGGGAACCACCCTTATCACGTGATCTCCTAATCAACCACGCAAATTAATTATTCAAGCCGTCGTTATTTTAAGATAATGAATTCGTTTTACGTTTTTTACGTTGTTTACGGTACGTCTGTAAAGCTTGTTTTACTGTCTTCTCTACATCAATATTTACACTCGTTTAGTCGCGGGGTTAAAGTGAAATTTAATGATCCGATGGGCCAACAATACTTTTGTTTGTTTTCGTTTGGTATGGGTGTATTGTTTAGTATTAACTGTAGCGTTACGTAGCTAGGAGTTTCTCGTATAAAGCTGAATTCATTTAACGAGCCGACCCGCGGCGTATCATACGCCGCTATTTGGTTGTTTTATTTTCTACTTTTCAGTAATTCATAATTTGTGAATTCGACAGTACCAATGCTGCCACTGAATTTATTTGCTTTAAAACACTATCAGTAGCTCGTTAAGGACGATACCCCCCCCCCCCTCCTTTCCCCAAACCCTACCCCCCCCCCCCCCCCGTGAAAGCAGCCTCCTCTTAGTTACCTCCCCTAAGTTTAAAATCGTTTCAAACTAAATTATCTGCCACGAATAGCCGTCAATAAACCCGGCTCTACGAATGTAAACATTTAGCGTGAACCACAGCTCACCAGACAATGTAGGGGTGGGGGTGGTAGGGAGCGCGCTGACAGCTTGTTTTCTAGCGTCTCCAAGAAGAGAATTATATATATAGATAGATTACATTTCTTAACTTATTTATCAAACAGCCTCTCTCTTTCACGCGCACTTGTTCAACCTTCTGCAGTACCTCTCTAATCAGCTCCCCCCTCTCCGTTTTATTTACACCACCTCTCTCGATTTTCCATCCCCAACCCTTTGCTCTGTTAACTATTGAACAATATATGTCCAAAGTTTATATTAAAACGGTCATTGTCTCATTGGCGTAGCGAGGTCGGGTGTCACCCGGTGCGGCACTTAATGGTGTCACCCCCCCCCCCCCAGAGGCGTAGCGACCATTCCCGGGAACAAACTTTCAAATTTTCGATTTGCACCCCCCCCCCCCCTCAAACTTTTGATTAGCACCCACTCCCTCAAGTTTTTCTCTATATATTTTGCTATTTTTTGCCTTGGTGTCACCCCCCTAAATGGTGTCACCCGGTGCGGTCCGCACCCTTGCCCCCCCCCCTCCGTCGCTACGCCTCTGCATTGTCTAATATGTTAAAGCTAGCAGTTCTATCAAAGTATTAGAAATGCAACACCAAAATAGATACGTTTATCTGGCTGCTTTGAACAGTATCTAATTTTAATATATCTTAAACTAACCCATTATCAGAAAAGATAACTATAGCTCAGAAAATATATTAAATTAATCCACAGAACACATAACCATAACTTTTAAAATATCTTAAACTATCCATTATTATAACAGATACCTCTAGCTTTTAATATATCTTAAACGTATCTATAATATTAAGAACAGATAATTCTTAAGTTTAAAATGATTTAAACTAATCCATTACCAGAATATATAAGATTAGCTTTTAAAATATTTAACTAATCCAACATTATTATAGAACACCGAAGAGCTTTTTAAAATAAAAAATTGTTTTAAATTTCGAAAAAAAAAGTCAGGAAGATTGGTTGACAAGATTTTGACCTTTCTTAGCACTTTGAGCGATTACCCTGGGATAGAGAGTGTTGTGCATGTTTTTTTAATGCGCTTTGGTGTCATTTGACGCTTACACTAGGGATAGTGTAAAGTAATTAGTTGGCTCGTCACAAAGTTTTTATGTTAGCATCTAAACTCTTCTGATATTATACACGCGTCTACACATCCACCCACACTTCCACCCACATATCCATCCACACAACCACCCACACATCCAGTGTTTCTTCCAGACTTTT